AAAACCAGCCATTAATATGCGCGAGTGGCGCTCGATTTCTCGCAATTAAAACTGATCGTCGTTGGGTTTTTCCCCTCTGTAAACATTACAATCAAAAACTCCTTCTAAACTTTACGGCAAACAAGGTCATTGTTGTCTTTACATAACGTATCTAAACTCCTCGAGCTTGGAGGTTTCTTTCCCTCGCAGAAGGAAAATCATTCAAACGCCACAACGATTAAATCATAATGCCGGCGATGGAGGCTAGCGCGCGTATAGCTTTTGTTTTGCGGCGCTGACGTAAATGACGATTGGCCGTTATTCCGGCGAGTGCGATTCTAGACGTAATTCGCGTCTTCGACGTAAACTAGGATAATAATAAACCAATGAAAATACAAAAAGTTCGTTGATGCCGTATTTTTATTTTGGTTGATTTGTGTTTTTTTTTTTTCTTTTGTTTTTTTTTTCTCGTCTGCTGGCCGCATTGCCGGCGGAGTCTGCGAAACGCGGACTCTAAAAATAAAGGCCGTCGTATCGCGTCGGCGGTCATTCGCAATCTCGTCGCGGAAGCTAATCTTGACTACTTCCTCGGTGTACGTGCGCTTGACGCAATGGGTTCAAGGAACCCTGGCGCCGAGAAATTTTTGTGCCGTTTGTTCGTCGATCGACGAGTTATCGTTACGGCAGAACTCCTCCCCACGTACTTTACAAAAGCGCGTTCGTTTGGCCCACGGCCAGCTACGACGTTTGAGGGCCAAGCGTCGTCTTTTCAGCACGGCTCGATTTGCACCGACTGTGGCTTTTTGTTGATAGCCGACTCTTCCGCTTCCGATTTTTGCGCGCTCGATCTCCTACGTGACCCTTCGCACGCCTATTTATTTTGTAAACGTGCGCGCTCTTTCGTTATTAATCCGTCAACGAGGCTTATCCCCCCTTTTGCTCCGTTCCATTATTTTGTCGCGTCGGGACTCATCGATCAACTCTCCTCTCCCCACCCGTCTGGCGCTTCGTTTTTCTTCGCTCAGTCTCGAGAGTTAAAATTGTTAGTAGTTCTCTCACTCCCCCTCTCTCTTTCTCTATGCGGGTTTATCGATTATCGGGCGCAGCTGATGGAGTGTATGGTCAACTTCCGTATCGCGTGCACGCGCTCTAGGTCAGAAGCTCGCTATCGCGCGAATCGTCCGAATCTCGCGCGAAGGTCGATCAAACTTATTCCTCGTCGAGCAATTAATCGTCGCGTTTCCGTAATTACTTTTGCGCGCTCGCTTCGAACAGAACATTCCCAACTTTTACGACGTAATTTCAGTTCATGAATTCCTCGCGCGTAAGCTGCAAGTTTTGCGGGCAAAAGAAAAAAGAAGAGAAGAAGCGAAGTTCCCCGAGTTTCTCCCTTCCCGCATGAATTTAAACATCGCAGGTCGTTAAAAGCGCGCCGAGACCGTAAAAAAAAGAAGCAACGAGAGAGAGAGAGAGAGAGAGAGAGAGGAGAGAGGGAGAGAGAGAGAGAGAGAGAGAGAGAGAGAGAGAGAGAGAGAGAGAGAAAATAACGATTCTCGTGCACAAAGGAGGATCCTCTTCTTCTCTATTCTCCCCCGATTATTTTTTTTTCCTTTGCTAACCCATTTTCTAAAGTTTTCTTATCTCATCGCTGAGAGATAAAGTGCGCGCGAATCCACGCTTTTCCGAGGAAGAAAATTTCTCTCTCTTTCCCCTCTCGCGACGCTGCGAGATCCGTCGGCTGCCTTTATCTGCGCTAAGCGTCTAATTGCGCGTTTCGCAACCCAATTAACGCGCTGGAAAGCATTATTAGCATACTCTCGCGCGGTGAATATCAAATCCGTCCGCGGGTGTGCGCAAACACGTGGGTATGTTTAAAGGTGACGACACGTGGTCGCGGAAAGGAAGACAATAAAGCTACTTTTCGCGTTAAATTTCTCTCTCGGCGATGCATTCGCGCGCATAATTCCTTTGGCTATCGTCGATTAAGAACAAAAACATCGCTGTGCGCGCTCACACTCACAAACATACACACACACGCGCGCGCGCGTGCTATATCGTTTTTTTTTTCTCAGACACACACATGCAAAAGCGGACGCGTGAATCAGCAGTCGACGGAGTTAACGAGCGCGACACGCGGTGCATTCCTACGCGTTTTCTCTCCCTCCCGCGGTCGCCTTTGTCTTGCTCGCGCGCGGTAGTGACGTAAGCGCACGTGGCTGCGTTTCGACGCAACGCAGGAAAGTGTCAATGTCTTTCTGTCTCTTTCTCTCTCTCTCTCTCTCTCTTGCGCGCGCGCCCGCAGTTTCCGCCGGCCAACACGAGTCCGTGACTCGGGGGAAGACCCCCGGCCGAAGGCGCGCGGGGGGCCGCAGGAAGGAAGAAAGCCGCGCCCGATCGAGAAGAAGCAGCCCAGGAGCGCCCGGACGATAATCGATTCCGCGTACGAAACACACGTGCAGAGAGAGGGCAACCTGTTTCTCTTTTTGGTATTTATGAGAGAGAGAGAGAGAGGAGAGAGAGGAGAGAGAGAGAGAGAAGAGAGGAGAGAGGGAGAGAGAGAGAGAGAGAGAGAGAGAGAGAGAGAGAGAGAGAGAGAGAGGAGGGACACGCACACACACAAGTCGGACCGGTTCTCTGTCTCTCTCTTTCTCTCCTCTCTTTCTCTTCTGCGAGGCCAAAAAAGGGCCGTCGCGCGAGTGTGCCGGCGATCCTGGCCGCCGGCCGTGCTCAGCGCAGCGAGTGCTCACGCCTGACTGCTCTTGTTACAGGGAGCGGCGCGAAGCGGAAGCGCGCGACCTGGAGTCGCGCGGAGCGCGAGGCCAAGATCGAACGCGAGCGCCTGGAGAAGCAGCGCGCCGCCGAGCAGGCTGTCCACAAGCACTTCGAGGAGTCGTTTCGCCTCGCACAGCAAAAGGTTAGTCTTGCACATCCTTATCCGGACCTCTACCCCCCCACCCCCTTCGCCCCTCGCACGGGGCTCACGGTTCGACGTTCGCGCCGGTGTCTCGCGGTCTCGGGGAGGCGCAAACGCGCGCCCGACCTTGGCAGTGGAACAAGAACGCACGACCACGGAAATTAATGCACGCACGAGCTTCTGTCTGCTCCTGGCCGTACTGATCATGTCAACCTTGACACCATCCATCGTGAGGAGCCTAGCCGCGCTCGCTGCCGTTTACTCGGTGTTAATTTCTTTTTTTGTTATTTTTTTTTTTCCTTTTCACCTCGCCAAACGAGGCACGCCGAAGCTCGTGCGCGCAGTTATATGCAAAACGAGTTCGTGCGGCGCGTGACACTTGCCAAGTCTTCGCGCGGGCATGTTGAGATAGCCTAGATAGAGAGAAAACTGGCTCCCCCCCCCCCTCCGTCCGTCCGTCCGTCTGTCTCTCTCTACCCGCTGCGCTCTCTCGCGGAAATTAATCGGGTCGCTGGAAACCGCGGAAAGCTTTTGCCGAGCGGCGGGGGGCACTCGCAGTCGTCGCGGTTGCGCAATGGAGCTGGCTGGAAACGCACGCGCGCGCCTGCAACGGGACGCGTGTCATTTGCAATGCAAAGGGAGCGCGCTGGCTCTCCCCCCCCGCCCCTGCCCCGCTAATTATGCATCTCCGCGCTGAAAACGCAACAATGCCAGCTCCTCTCGTGGGATAATGCGCGCGACGTTGCGAGCGCAGAAGAGCCTCTTGCGTGTGTCGACGATCGGCAGCGCGAGAAAGACCGGCTCATCCGGCCGTGCGTAACGCCGTCGCTGGAGGTGCGTACGCGCGACGACCTTGGCCCTCCAACGACGTCAAATATTTCGCGTTCTGTCTCTTTCTCTCACTCGCGCGCGTTCGATTTTTCTGAGCTCGTTCAACTGGCGACAGTCGGATCCCGAATTTTTGTTTTTTTATCGAGCTTTCTAATCGTACATAGATTTATCAGCTTATCGAATAGTATCTAATGTACGTCGTACATACGTGTACCCACGTTACAATGTACATATCTTACGATCTTATTTACATTACGTAGGTTACATAGATTCGTTTGTCGTCAAAGACTACAATGTAATTAACTCGAGGTCGAGAAGCGTCAATTTAAATAGATCAATACAATCTCAATCGCCCGTGTGCGTGACCTTTCAATAGATATATAAATTCCCAGGATTTGTTTGACAAGTCGCGATATACAAATTAATCATTCATTTGTTATTTGGAGAAACAAAGTTGTCATTGATTTTCATCGAGCTTTATAATTCAAGGACAAAGCAATCAACATACTTTACTTCCAAGTACGTACGGAAATTTGCTTTAGCGATTCCGTCGAAGAAATCTTGCCTCATAAATCCAGTGTTCGTAATTATGATGATGTTGATACTGAGAGGAGCATAGAATAGGGTAGCAGAATTTTGCGAATTAAAAATCAGCGCTAATGAGATCGAATATAGGAGTGACTGCTAAGTGCCCAGCATAAATTCTTATCTTACGGACATTAGGATAAGCACACACGGAACTTGATACGCGATGTTATCCAGAAATTGAAGTTGTCTTGTCGTTGAACTAAATTGCGATGAAAAGAAATTCTCATTTTTTAAATTGCCGAAAGAGAAAATGGAGCGTTAACCGAGTTGCTTCTGCGCCGGTCGACGAGCACAGATTCCGAACGGTCAGTGTGAACTGCGATTAATTGATAAAATGTGAACTTATCTCTGTCTTAGTGTGATGACGTATGCCAATTAGACTACGTTGTCGACTTTTACTTGACATGACCGAGGGAAGTATTGTTGCATCCTTATGAGCTAAAGTGGATATAAAAAAGCAAGATTAAGTAATTTGAGGAGATTCATTATATTCGTATAATATTAATGTTAATGCATTCATTATCAGGGCGTGGCAAACGCAAAACAAAATTCATATTAAGAAATTGAAGAGTTTCAAGCATTTTATACAAGTTTAAAAGATTACGTATCTAACCGTCGTACCCTCAAATTATTTCTCTCTTTATTATGTAGCCGGCATTGCCATACAGCGTGGTCTAAATTTTGATCTCGTATACCGTAATCACACAGCGATCTATCGGCTACGTTTACACGAGCCAGATATGCTGCTAGAATACAATGATTTTGCTTACTCTTGTTTGTCGAAACTGTAGTTCGACGCGGTAGGTTACTTTTATGTACCAGGTTTCGAAGCGTCTTTAAAGAAATTCTCAGTTAGTTTTGACTTTGAGTATTGTTGGCCGCAAGTTTTCATATTGCTACTCATTTATTTTCTTTTCAGTTCTTTCAAACTGAGGTGTCAAGGAAAGACCTGTATATATTATACCTGTATAAGAATTCCTTTGGAAGGTTGGCCGTCGCTTGTTGCCTTAGCAAATCTGTCGACTAACTCATTAGTTTAAATACCATCATGACAAGATGTCCATGATGGTTGTATACCATCTTCGTCATATTTGGCTTCGCCAAATTCAATGTGTTTAGCTTCCATTTCCGAAATAGATATTTTTGAATTTTTAAGACTTTCTTAACGATTGCAAAAATGTATGATATTTACGTAATCTGTCGAGAAGAGCTTTATCGAGGGCATCTGACACGGCAATACTTTCTGCTGCGAATGTAGATGAGAATCAACAAGAGTCGGTTAGCATTGAAAATTCATTCCAGGGATGTATAGATTTTTGCAGGTGCGACTATTTTCCTAGTGTGAAGTTGGCATGATAAGGAACTCGAATTACGCTCGATTTCCAAACGCTGGCGCGACTCGATTTTTTTCGAGAGCTAGAGGAGAGAGAGAGAGAGAGAGAGAGAGAGAGAGAGAGAGAGAGAGAGAGAGAGAGAGAGAGAGAGAGAGAGAACACAGAGGTCAGTAAGTTACTTGCCCCTTTCTCGGCGACAAGAGCGAATGGGACGAGTCAGCGATGTCTCCGTTCGATTTTGAGCAATCGCGAGGAAGAGAACAAAAGCGAGCTCGCGCGCTCGGCTGAATTAGAAGAACGAGCTGTCCGCAGAGGCAAACAAAAGAAAGTTATAGCGGCGCGCTCGCTGCCACAATGCCACGGGAGAGCGATGGTCCCGTTAACGCCGGAGCGAAAAAAAAAGAGGCGGAGAGGGAGAGCCTCGTCTTCCTCGTCTTGTTCCATTGGCTTTCGTGGAAGACCATTATGTCTTTGCCATCCTCTGGCGCGTTGTGCAACGCGCACATCCTTGTTTTCCTTGCTCGGCGGGGGAACGACCAGCGCCTAGAAAACCTCGATAATCGATGAGAGCCGAGCGACGCTTCGTCGAAGGTTTCTGAGGAGAAACGCGACCACGAGCCCAACCTCGAGCTCGGCTAAAAGTTCCAGTCGCGCGCGCTTACCCGGCGAGCATAAAACTGCGTGGCGGCGCGATAAACGTAGAGGGAGAGTGACGATCGACGTTGTACACGAACTCCAGTCCAATCTTATCGAGCGAGCGCGTGTGTGAACAGTTGCAGCTCGCACGCGCGCGAGCGATAAGACAGCGCAAAAAGAGAGAGAGAGAGAGAGAGAGAGAGAGAGAGAGAGAGAGAGAGAGAGAGAGAGAGAGAGAGAGAAGGAAAAACAGACAAAAAAACGCAACGATACGCCACGACGCTTCTCCGCTCTTTCGTTCTCGTCGACGGAAAGCGCGCGTCGCGTTGGTACGACCATCGGCCACGCTCGCGCACTGGAATCCGGGCGCCTCTTGGCGCGACGTAAGCCGCGCGCTATTAGCATGCTAATAACTTTGGAGCCGTTTCTATACTTGGTCGTTGCGCTCTCGCGTTTTGAGCCGCGCGCCCGCCGAATTTCGCATGTGCCGAACGCGTCGACATGGCAAGTGCGCGTGACTCGCCCGGGCAGCTGCTACGGACAACCTTGACGAACGAGCGACCGGCGCGCGCGAGCAGCTTTCTCGGCGCTGAGGATTCCGGAACGCAGAGCCGCGCGGGCGCGTACGAAAAACCGATAAGATAGCGGAGGAGGTGGCCTTTGCTTCTCTCGTCGATCGAAGCGTTATCAAGCGCGCTAAAAATAGCGCGCGTTGCGCACCTCGGCCGCCAGTTGCCCGGTCACGACGGCGCGTCCCCCAAGCGCAGTGCAAGAGAAAGGCCAGTGCCGACTAAACGGATGAAGGTGTTCAATTCGTATGCGCAGCAGCAGCAAAGGAGCATGCAGCAGGCGGCGGCCGCGAGCTCGATGGCGTGGAACAGCTTCATGCCGCTAGCGCCGCCGCCGGGCGCGGCAGGCAGACTCCATCATCACCCGAACGCACCGCCGTCTCGCGAACGAGACGAGCAACAGCAGCAGCAGCAGCAGCAGCAGCAGCAGCAGCAACAGCAACAGCAGCAACAGCAGCAACAGCAACAGCAGCACCAATTGGAACGCTCGCAGCAAGAAGCGGCGGCCGTGAGCGAATACGCGGCCCAGCAAAGCTTGGCTTACCTGCGGGCCGCCGCTGTGCCGCAGTCCCCCCAACAGGTCAGTATGTCCCCTCCCTCTCCTATACCGCCCCCGATGGCGTCGATTTCACCTCTGACCTCCGTTTTGAACTCGTTCCGTAGGTATCTCGGCCGTCAAGCGTGCCGGGCAAAATCGACTACCCACCGCCGCCGGCACACTCGAGAACCTCCTCGTCCAAGTCCTCGTCGTCAGCCTCGGCCTCTATCAGGCACGACAAACAACAGCAGCAACCTACGTCCCAGCAGCCACCGCAGCAGCAGTCGCCAGTTGTGCACCAGCTACCGAAAGCCGAGCCGAACGTATCGCTGTTCGGTTACGCCGGCTACTCGCCGTCAAGCGCGTTCACTACGAAAACATCCTCGTCCCCGTCATCGGTCAAGTCGGTGGTCGATCATCACGTGTCGTCGAGGCAATCGTCGGAGCAGCAGCAGCAGCAACAGCAACATCTACCAAATCCGCCGCCATTGCTGTCGGACCATAAGAGCTCCGTCATCGTCAAGAACGAGGGCAGTAGTAGTAGGGACGGTCACGTTAAACAACTCGTCGCTGCGCCGGCACACTCGCCAAGTCCCAAGATGATGTCTTATCTTCAGCCCGTAGCGGTGAGTAACGACGGTTTTCCATTCTCATTGCGATCGGAAGAGCTTTCGAGAATCTGAAACATTCGACGCGTTTAGGTGTCCGGTTCGCAGCACAAATCCCCGTACGAGTGTCGCTCGCCGACGCAAAGTCCGCATCACATAAGCAGACCAGGCAGCGCGCACCTACCGCCCACGCATCATCGCCACTCGCCGCATCAGGCGCAAACTCAGTCTGCGTCATTGTCGTCCGGCGGCGGTGGCACGTCCACACCGCTGTCCCAACAACAGCAACCACCGCCCGAACCACGCTATCTTAGCAGGCCCGAGCCACAGATGGCTTATCCACCTCCGCATCAGGCCAAAAGTCCTTATTCGGCATATCCGCATCATCCTCATCAACCGAGTGCTTCGCCAACTTCGCATTATGCCGCGCCTGCAAGCTCGAAGCCCAAGGTATTTATCGATCAGCATGACCTGTTGTCTGCGATGATAACAGCACGCCTCTGATTAGCTTTGGACGCGAGATTTATTGCTCTGATTATCTAGCTTTTCTTCGGCTTGTTGCATGCAGTGCGAAATCAATAAATACCACGATGAATTTTATCGACAAAGTTGATTATGAAATCTAACAAGCCGACACTTATTCAATGAGTGATCGGAGATACGTGCTCGAGCACTAATTGCACGAAAGATTAAACGTGGTTACATTCCTGATACGGATGACCAGACGCACAAGAAAGAAATTGAGGGTTTCCACGAGTCGCAATTCTCAAAGAAATATGCTTGCTCGTGATTTCTAGGTCAGCAGTCCAGCGCCGTCGCATATCTATGGCAAGCCCAATTCCGGTATAATGACCGGAACACCAGTATGTCGAGCGTCGTCGGAACCAGCGTCGACAACCTCCTCGACCACAACAGCAGCACCCCTACCACTGACATCAAAGGCAAATGTAACGTCGTCTTTCCAACCAGTGGTGGGTCATCACCCAGCTGCAAGTGCTGCTCCTTATTTGCCGCCACCACCAGCACACTCGAGTCGTAGTCCTTACGAGTCGAGAGCTGGCTACAATTCGCCTGCGTCTAAACTGCCGCCACCGCCGCCATCGTTACACTCTGTCCCTGGCATTGGGTGAGTTTTCTTTATTAACCATTTTTTCAAAGATGATACAACCTACTGCCTTGATTTCGCATAAGCTTTCGTCATAAGTTATTGATTCATCGTTATCCAAGATAATCATTTATGTAACTCGACTATTTACTACTGAGGTTTCATTACTTAATAAGGAGTGCTTGGCTCTACTGTCGAAACAAATAATTATCCTTATCTCGTGCACGCTTGTCAATGCGTCGTTGTCAACGCACGTTTCTTTAAAGCAAATTTTTATATTCACAGCAAACTGCCACCACCTCTACATTTACTGCCGCCGAGCGCGGCTGGATTGCCGCCAAGGCCAATACCAGGCATACCGCATCCAGCGGTGCATCATCAGCAGACGCCAACAGCGACACAGCAGCACCAGCAGCAACAACAGCAGCAGAACGCGGCGAGCGTACAAACACAGCCGTTGGATCTCGGCGTGGAGAGATCCGGTTCGCCGAAACGCAAACCCGGCGGCGAGCCTGTCGCTCTTGAGGTCGCGAAGAAGAGGCGGCTTAACGACGTTATGCCTCAGCAGGTGAGATTTAATGCTCCACGCTATACCCCCCGTGGGCAATTTATGGATTTAGGAGAGAGACGCCGTGTGTTTATGCGCACGTAAGAGACGTGCATGAGATTTGCCTTTTAAATTTTTTAAAACTCGTATCGTGAGATATATATGTAGATAGATATATATCCTCCTATATTTTTTCAACGTAAGCAAAAGCTTGAGTAAAATTACACTTTAAATGCCCACTTATCTTTATTATATTTGCTGTTCAAGAGAACAACCGTAACGACGACGGTTTTTAAATCCCTTGAATTCTTTATCAGTGACCGTTCTGTTTTTAAAACTCAGTTTTTCTTTTTTTCGTTGATTTCAGCAGTCTCCAGTAGCAACGATACAAAATAATGCAACAGTCTCACCACAATTGTCGAGGGTCAGTGAGCCATCGCCGTTAATAGCATCAGCAGCCACGTCGATAACAACGGTGGTGAATCCATCGTTGTCGTTGCAGCCCAACAGCCAAAGCCAGGTGAACGTTCCTTCAGTGAGTCCAGCGCCGCGAACGGCCAGCGGTGATGGTTCTCTACGTCCTTCGTCGGCGGGTGGTACAGCGGCACCATCCGCATCACCAGCACCATCGTCAGCACCATCTCCCGTACCAAGTAGCGCGCCAGGAACTCCAGCGAAAGCCGACAGTCCAGCGCCCGCAAGACCACCAAGTAGCACTAGTTATCCAGTGCACAAGTTGAAAAAAGCATGGTTACAGAGACATTCGGGCGAGGATGGCACTGAAGACACCACGGGCATCGTTGGCAGTGGCTCATGCGTAACGCTGCCGCTGAATATCGCTAACAAGCAGACTAACGGTAGTGCTGGTGAGTGTCTCCTTTCTTTTCTTTTTTTCATCGAGTGAGTCATTTGAATACTTGGAGTATAATTATGTGTCAATGTATATTTTACGCGATAAAAGTTTGCGCATTGTAACATCCGCTCTTTCGCGCTTTAGTGTACAACTTATAGTAAATCCATTATCATACAAATGACGTCAATCTGTTATCGAGTTCGCGGCAATATATACAACGAGTCTCGTTGTTCGGTTGTTAACTTATAAAAAAATTAACTACGGCATATACACCGCATACATATCAAGCTAATCGATTTGAGTACTCGGAAATAGCCTGCTATTTTTACTATACTGTGTCGGTCGAGCAATTAACGTCGATTTTATAACTTCGAGTCGTAACGAACCGACCTACCATAAATTTGAATGTTTTTTCTTTTACCTTTTGTAATTTTCTTTGTGTATAAAGCAATGACGAGCGATGACTGTAATAATTAAGAAAACGATTGTATCTTTATGTTTACAGACAAAGACAAAACGAGCACAAACACAACAACCTCATCGACCTCATCGACAACCTCGTCAACGTCGTCGACAACGACGTCAATCACAAGTCTACCGAGCGCGGTGAATTCAATTCATAACATTGGTAGTATGGCGGTAAATAGTATAAGTAAGACGAAGGTACCGATAAAGCAGCGCAAAACGCCTGTGAAGGAACCAATTAATGGCCACACACAGAGTCAGGCCGCGTCAGAGAGTAATCATGAAGATTCGTCTAATAGTGAACCTGAAAGAAAGGCACCTCCAAAACGGAAAGCGCCAAAGGTATACTTTCAACTTTTATTATTTGTGTTTAACTTTCTTTCTTTCCCGTTTCATTTGTTTCTTAACATTTTTAATTGTTGAAAATAATCTTTGTTATGGAGAATCTGTTTTTTGTTTATTTTTGAGCTTTTTAAAAATTTTGGAAATTCATATCGTAAATTAAACGTACATTTCATTTTATTTACTGTAAAGAAATTTCTCTACCAAAAAGTTCTGCGAAATATTTAGAAATAATGAGCATTTTTAACAAAAAAAACTTAGGATAAAATAACTAATACGAAGCTCCACTTCCATTAATATTGCATGATATGTAAATACGCAACAAGTCTCTCAATAAGTTTCCTCATTCAGACAGATTCTCTACAATTTCCTTTGCATGCCTCCTCTTATCAGCCTTACCAATGTATAATCTGAAACACTCTACTCTGCTCCCCCCCCCACCTTCTGCTTCAATCGCCTAGAGATTTTTTTTATCTGCAAAAACACAGAGAAAGATAAAAGTAAAGATTATGTATACGCCTCCCCTCTCTCATTCAAACTTGCCGCGTTCGCGGGGACAAAACAAGCAGCGAGCGACGCCAAGCTTATAGAGAACTCCCGACGCCATTACTCGACTGCAGTTCGTCGCGTCCGCGCGCGTTTCTTTCTCTCTCCTCTCATTAATTGTTTGCTTCACTTATACACTTATTTTTTTAATCGTTCACAGCGCGTTATAATATTATTACCTTGAAAGATATTGTGATCTATACAACGTCAGTTTGTTTTGTTTTTAATCTTGTAAAACAGAGACAAAGAGAAAAAGAGAGAGTGAGAGTGAGAGAAAGAGAGAGAGAGAGAGAGAGAGAGAGAGAGGGAGAGAGAGAGAGAGAGAGAGAGAGGGGGAGAGATAGAGAGAGAGAGAGGGAGAGAGAGAGAGAGAGATTCATACAAGTGAAAGTGCACAGAGTAGCTTGAGGAGGTAACCTACAAAGTTCGTCACATGGCATCATTTGGTGTTGTTTGATCGCTACGAGTGAGAGAGAGAGTTGTAAACAATGCTGGTGGGTTTTGTTGTTTTGTTATTACGCTTGTCTACTAGCCGGCAAAAATGCTGGTAGTCAGTTTTGTTACAGATCACCCGTTACCACGGTTACGTGTTGCGAAATTTCCGCGGTCAATGGCATAAGATGCTTGACGCATTCTTACCGTATAAAATATGCTGTGTATAGAGCGGAATGAAATTACTTAAGTGCATTAATGCAATTATGAGTAGAGGGAGGGGGAGTGGATAAGAAGAGAGTTTGTTGGTAAACACGTTAATTTTACGGTTGATTGATCTTAATTAAAAGTTTTCTTCGGAATGACTCGTTCGTTATTCGTCTTTGGAGCGATAGTTCAATTTATAACTGTTAAAGTCGATTGAATATTCTGTTATGAACAAATTTATAAGTCATAAATGTGCATAAGTATGTGCTGTAATTTAGAAGGAGATGTCATAACTATATTGTTAACACTCTTGGAATACTTTTCGAATTGAATTTATTACCATTGATATTTTGTTATTCAGCTGTATAATAATGGTATAAACCTACAAATTTATATAATTATAAAATGGACTCCAATTACTGACTTAACAAAGCTTACAATGGGAACAAATAAAGTGCTTATTCTCTAAACAATTAGAAACATAAACTAACCAATTGGAGTGAAAAACAATAACAATGTACCACTTGACAAGCTATGAATCTTAACTGGAAAAAATCAAAATTAATTTAGAATTTGGTTGATGGATAACTAATCTCCGCTAGAAACAAAACATCTTAGGTTATGCAAAAACCAATATAAAATATCCTGTATCGACCACTAACAACGAAACAAGAGCACACAATGAAATTGTCTTGGCACGCACACTCAGAGGAGAGAGAGGAGAGAACTCTAAATAATCACATATCCATGTCTATGTGGTAGGTAAAGCGAAAGAAAGGAGCTACAGGCTGGAAGGGTCAACAGCAGCAGTCAGCAGCTCAGCAGCAGGAGCAAAGAAGTCGAGCTACCAAGAAAACCAAACAGCCACGACCAGCAGCGAGTGAGTCGAGTAACGAGAGTGATGAAGCTGGCAGTGACTCAAACAGCGAGCAGCGCTTTCCAACAAGGCCCATGGCCAGCCCGGGAAACGGTTAGTCTAACTAAATTTTGTGTTGCTAAAGAAAAGGGATGGACTTTGTCCACCCTGCAAAATAAACAATCGTGAGAGAAAGGGAGAGCGACACTTTATAAAAAAAATCTCTAGGCGGACATAAAAAGAGAGGCCTGTAGGTAGGAGTTTGCATGGTTTGTGGTCAGGCTAAGAGAGAGAGGAGAGAGGAGAGAGAGGAGAGAGAATTATAACTTACACAGTATCGTTGATCGAGTTAATTCTTTCGCATGCATAAAACCAAACATTTTGCTTTTAATGTTTTCTAACTTTACAAATAGTTTTTCCTTCAAAGTGTTTTAACCTATAGCCAAACAAATTCTCAAATAAATAATTCATGTAAAAGAACTAACTCATCGACAAAAATGTGTTCTTACTAAACAAAATTAAAACAAATTCACCATGTATGCATAATCATTATACAAACTGCATTGAATTTTTGTTTCTGTTACAGGGAATAAAAAAGTCCCTAAAAAACGAGGGCGAAAACCTCGGACTGCAAAAGACGTTAAAATCAAAGAGGAAGAAGAAGAAGAGGAAGAAGACTATCAACCTCGCCAAAAGAAAAAGCGATTAGAGACTAAGACGACAGGGGGTGGGGGTGGTGGCGTCGGCAATAACAAAAACAACAAAAAACGACGCAACAATCGAATAAGCACGATGGAAGATAAGCCCGAGGACGAGAAGCTTATTAAGACTGGACAAAGTTGGATACAGGACGAAATTTGCATGAAGTACTCGAGTACAAAAATTTCAAAATGCCGTGAGTGCAGGCTCACTCCAAATCAACGAGATAAAATGTGTTCCGTCAAGAGCAGTGTCACCGTCTTCTGCAGGTTTTACGCCTTCAGACGAATGCAATTCACCAAAAATGGCACACTTAGTCTGGCTGGGTTTAACGATCCATTCGTAGATGCAGACGAGGTAATGTTCTATGCATTACTTTAGTTGAAATACGTATGAATGGATTCTATAGTTTTCAAAAGCATAGTATTAACAATGCGTTATTTTTTCAGAGTGACATACAATTGTGGCTACCAGGAAAAGACAATAGATTGATCAAAAGGGACAAGTACACGGAGGAGACACAAAAAGATAGTAAAAAAGACTGGGATAAAGGCGAATTTGATATCGAGCTGGCTTTCCAGATTATCCGACAAGTTGGTGATCAATTCTGTGATCTCATTCATCAAGAGAAAAGTGTCGTCGAAGAACATCTTGCCAGAGGTAATTAATTCTTTAAATATATTTTTTTTATTCGTCGGGCAGAACCACGATGTGATGAAATTTTTTTATTAAATTGAAAATATGTGATAATAAAATATCGAGCTTTTTAACACTGATTTTTCTTACATTCAATACTTAATTTAATGAGTTTAGTGAACGATGGTATTAATGCTGCGGTTTTGATTTCAGTTGGTAATGACTCTGAAGAGCAACCAATGGTCTGGAAACGAGTAGTCAAAGGTGTCCGTGAAATGTGTGATCTCTGTGATACAACGCTCTTCAATTATCATTGGACCTGTGGTAAATGCGGCTTTGTTGTTTGCATCGACTGCTACGAGGTAAATTTGACCTTAATATTTTCAAGAAATTTATTAATACACTTGATAGTTCAAAAAATGATGTAATATTTTATTTGATATTCGTGATAGAAATAAATTAACGAGCTTTTTAACACTGATTTTTTTAGTCATCAAGATTTTCCTTGATATTATTTTTTTACAAGTCAATTAACCAGTGATTCTTATTTTGCAGGCACGTAAAAATAAAACGGTTGTATGGACAGAGAGCAGTAAAGGGAGAGACAAATATGCCTGGCTATTATGTGCCAATCGTCAGACTCACGTGCCGGAACAGTTATTACTTACCCAAATCATTCCATCTGACTGCCTCATACAGATCGACAAAAGACTACATGAATGTCGATCGGAATGGGGTATTGCTAAGCATTGTAGCTGCGATTATTCGAACGATATTCCATGCAATGACAGCCTCAGATGTTTGATTAAGGGTGATTTAGTATCAGTGATGAACGGCAATGCCCAGCAAGAAATAAAGGTTCGTTTTGATTGGTTATTCATATTCTTCTAATTTAAAATCAAGTTTAGAATATTCAGAAATAATCAATGGCACATTTATTAAATTACAGCAAGAAAAACAGATAAAGAAAGAATCACCAAGTGGTAAATCAAACGAAAGCCGAGCGAATGGCGAAGATAAGTTAAGTTGGCTGGCAGACGTAGCGCTCAATGAAGGCAAGAACGAATCGGACAGTGATTCGGATTCAGATGACGGCGACGGCAATCACTCGACCCTCCGTGAACTTCTTATCCGACCCTCACAGAAAACTAATGGCTCAGCGCCCAACTCGCCTGATGACGGTAGTGCTGGTGCTGATGGTGCTGCTGGCGCGACTAAAAGTGGCAAGAAAAGCAAAATGGATACGCTTAATGAGGTCATCAGCAGTGTTATTGAACACAGCGTTAAGGTACGATTTTTTTTTTAATGAACATTTTGAAATGTTTTTTAACCGAACATTTTTTCAAATACTTTACTTATATAAGAAACCTTCTCACAAAACAATTTCATTTCAACAGAAAGAGGAAGAGGCTTGTATGGATGGCGAAAAGCCTCGTGAATTGAAACATTTTGTACGTCGCTACAAGTGTCCTCAACGTGGTCGCGAACCACTACCGATTCGCATAATGACCCTCACAGAGTCAAAAGGCCTGTATCCCGAAGTGCCACATTCATGGCTCTGTGACGGCAAGTTGCTAAGGCTTCACGATCCTAACAATCCCAAGAATTATCGAATCTTCCAAGACCAATGGAAACGAGGTCAACCAGTCCTCGTGTCTGATGTGCACAAGTATCTAAACAAAGATCTTTGGCACCCCGACAGCTTTTCCAAGGACTTTGGTGACCAAAAAAGTGACCTGGTCAATTGTATGACTGGCAATCTAGTGCCCAAGCAACCAATGTGGAAATTTTGGGAGGGCTTCGAACACACAACCAAGCGACTTAAGGACGACCAAGGCAACCCAATGCTGCTCAAGCTCAAAGATTGGCCATCGCGTGGCGATTTTGCTGACATACTTCCTTCACGATTTTCCGATCTGATGAAGTGTGTCCCACTCTCAGAGTACACTCATCGATACGGCCGATTAAATCTTACCAGTCGTCTGCCAGATACCTTCACCCGACCAGATCTTGGTCCAAAGATGTATAATGCTTATGGTTCGGCTCTTTACCCCGACAAAGGTACGACGAACCTTCACCTCGACGTCTCCGATGCTGTGAACGTGATGGTTTACGTGGGAATCTCGAAAGATGGCGATCGAGAGGAGCACGTAAAGGAAGCATTCAAAGCTATCGACGAGGCAGGCTGTGATATACTTACCAGGAGACGTGTTAGAGAAAAGGAAGAAATTCCTGGCGCTCTTTGGCACATATATGCTGCTAGAGATGCTGATAAGATCAGGGATATGCTAAACGCTGTGGCACTTGAGCGTGGCGCTAGGCTAGAGCCTCATCATGACCCTATTCATGATCAAAGTTTCTATCTGGATGGGCCACTTAGGGAGAGGCTATACCGGGAGTACGGTGTTGAAGGGTAAGTTGTATTTTTAATTTTCACCAACCTAAATGATTTTTTATGAAATTTGATTGAAATGAAAATGTAATTAGTGTAAATTTTTATATATAACACTATTATATTATTTTTATATATCACAATAAAAATACGTGATTTTATAATTGAATTTACAGATTACCCTTCGTTTCAAATATTTCACATCAACAAAAATTTTTAAAATTGCAAACAAAGAACTGATACATTTTAATCGAATCTAATTTGAAATCTATGCACCATCTTGAATGTTGAATTAATAGTTATGTATTTTTACAGGTACGCGATAATTCAATGCCTCGGTGACGCTGTATTTGTGCCAGCAGGTGCGCCTCACCAAGTGCGCAATCTGCACAATTGCATCAAGGTGGCCGAAGATTTTGTCTCGCCGGAAAACATCTCTCACTGCTTCCACTTAACGCAGGAGTTCCGTGCGTTATCGGACACTCATACAAACCATGAGGATAAACTACAAATAAAAAACATAATTTATCATGCGGTTAAAGATTCGTTGACTGCGTTGGATAGCGCCAAAGACGAGGCACAGGCCAAGTCTTCGAAACCCACGTGAAAAGGAGTATGTGATAACGACGACGACGCTCCTTGTGATAAGGACGAACATGTTGTAAACAAATCGCTGTAATCGTGCCTGTAATAAGTGTTTTTAACATATGGAAAAATGATGAAAAAAAATGATAATGGGATAAAAACCTCGTGTGCAATTAGGGCTTCTTCTACCGTATATAAATATTATATATATATTATATATATCTTCACTGCCGCTAAGCGCGAGTGCGAATACTACTCTGATCTCACAACGACGAGGCGAGTGTTTGTATAAAGTTTTTTCGCTGTAGAAATGGAGGCGCGCGCCGTTTTTATTATCCGTTGATTTGATTGCTAATTTTTTGAAAAAATAACAAAAGTAATGGACAAAAAGTATATAGTTGGTACTTTTTTTGTCTTTTTGAAGAGCCATCTCAAAACTCTCGACGGATACTCGTGTACATAATTCGATTGCTATAAATAAATATATATATATATATATTATATAAATATATATATATATATAAATATTATAAATATTATAAATAATATACATAAGCGCTGCATTCTGGCATATACATATTATAAATACGGAAGGATGGATAAAAAAAACATGCATTAGGAAAAAATTGCACTCTTGAATACACACATTTATTAGATAGTTAGCCTTTTTCTCAATCTCTACCTTCTCTCTATCTCTTTCCTATCATTGTCATCGTATTTTATTTTTATTATTTTTTTCTCTATTTGAGTTCTTAACCAGTAATACTGTTATAATTATTGCGGAAAAAATAATGCTCCAATCATGAATTAATTAAAGCGACGGAAAAAGCACTATGATATTTAAATGTCTAAATGTCGTCGGGAGGATGCGTGTGTGTGCGTGTTATATGGGGGCGGATTAATTTTTTTATTTTTTTTTATTTTCCAACGCGCAGGCTTGTACAGAAAGCGAATGTAAGCACTTCCCCGGTGTCCTCTTTGGAAAAATGATGAAAACAAAGAATTTTTGCCCAGCCGTGAGCCGTCGGCGGGTCTGAGTATAATTTTTTGTACTGTGTAAATGTAAGAACATACGTTTCAATAAGAAAAATGTTTATATTATGAAAAAAACGATGTTGCTTATTCTCTGTTCGCTTATCCCTCTTTCACGACTTTGTAGTATGTAAGTGTAAATAAATTCGATTTTCTGATTTATAAACGTTTCTTAAAATTTCTTTATTTATCAATTGAAAATGTTCTACTTTAATTATTAAGAATGTTCACATTTTTTATTTAATAAGAATAAATCTCTTGCTAATTTATTACTGAAAAAAATGGATGTTTCATTTCATTAAATATTTCACATTTATTCAACTCATAAGTATTCTTACAGATATAATCTTGATTTGTGGATGAATTTTAATTATTATTTAACCTCGATGTTTTAAATTAAAGGAAATTCAATGCATAATCACTAAGTTAACAATGAATGGTAAGTTATTGATTATTTTATTTTTAAATGTGTATTATCCTTTTTAATATCGCCATTGCGTAATTTAATTTTTTCAACTTATTTATAATCCTTTCCCCTCAATAATTTTTAAATATACTATTTTTACCGTTTATGAGAATAGTTAATGTGCGCGAGTTAGGAAAGCACATTTTAAGCTTTCAAAATCAATATTTAAATAAAAAATAACGAATATCGTTCGGGTCAGTACAATATGTTCTTTTATAATCGCAAACGCGTTAACCAAATCAAAATGTGAAAGTCCGGAACATTCGCGCGTTTTCTCTCTGTCAATCTGCGCATGCGAGCCGTACGAGCCGGCGTCAACAGTGTGCGCATTAGCAACCTGTTTTGTGGTTGTGTGGTGCCGTGTGCGTTCAACAACAAGGAAGCATTATTATTTCAACGTTACATCTTTTATAATTTTTCTATCTAAATTATTTGCCTTGTCATTGTGAATCGCAAATCCAAAATAGTGCAGTTTCTGACAAGGAATAATCGCATCCAAGAATCACACCAAGTTTACTTTTTTTCCCTCCCATTTTTCCATCTTTCGATTGAGAAATCCTCAATGACGGGTACAGCAACGGTTCGATTTCCGAGAATTGTTAGCGCGCGGGTTTATTACACCACGTGATCAGTGTTGTTTTTCATTATAATAACAAACCACTAACAGTTATTAGTGATTTTGTAAAGTTTTCGTGCATTTTCATCGACGTAAAAATGGAAGGCATGCTGAAAAGTAACCTCGAGAGGGATAAATTGCCAGTAAAAAATGTAGTACAAGATAAAAATTGTCTGGGGTACGCTAGTAAGAATATTTCAAAATGTCGCGAGTGTATACGCAATATGACCCGAGACGAACGAGAGAAAACGAGTCCCACCAACAATTGTAGATTTTCGCACTTCAGGAGGATTCAGTTTACTAGAAATAAAACCCGCAGTCTTGCTGGGTTTAACGATCCGTTCATACATCCTAAAGAGGTAAAAACGCTGTATCTTACAAGTGATTTAAAAAAAATTTTTCAAGGTGTCAGGCTAGTATGATGAAAACTTTTTTTATGCATATAAATTCAACATCCATGTATTTTTCTATCTTTATTCATCTTGATCACGATCGTTTTGTATTCTTTTTTACGATTGAAACGTCCTTTGTTTACTTTATTTTCCGAATTAAATACAACAGATACTGATGTCAATATGGCAGATCAACTTCCACATTTAAGCGGGCAATTTAGAATTTTATATGTTCCACTGGAAAACTGCTCTCTTTTAATTCCTGCTAAGTCGCGGTCATATCCCTAGCACGCGCTATTTTATAGTTTCCGGAGTCGCTAAAACGAGACTGCTTATGTTTTTAACGTCATATGCCTGTAGATTTATATTTTCGGGTCTTTCTTCTTTCTTTACTATAATTTATGTTAACTTATCAATTGTTAAATCGTTTTACACTGCCCCCGATTTTAAATATTTGCAAACTAAACATATTGTTATTGAAAGCAAACAATTAACAGTGCTTCATCATTTCAGAGAGATAAGCAAATATGGCTACAAGGGGGTCAGTTGATCAAGCGGGAAACGTACGCGGAGGAAACCCAGAAAGACGAGAATGTCTGGAACAAGAGTGAATTCGATGTTGAGCTCGCTCACCAGATTATTTCTCAGGTTGGCGACCAATTCTGTGATCTCTGCGAACAAGAAATGGATGTCATCAACCGATATCTTGCCAGAGGTAAACAATCCTTCATCGCGTTCTAATTCCTTTATATCTCCAACGGAACTTTTACGTGATGAAGATTTTTATAAATTGAATATACGTAATAATTATGAGGTATCGAGCTTTTTAACACTCAACTATCTCACATTGCATGCTTTGTTTGTTACTACAGCGAACAGTGCTTATAACTTTGCTATTTTGATTTCAGGTGGTAATAAAGCCAAAGAACAAAAGGTCCTTTGGAAGCGAGTGGTCAAAGGTGTTCGCGAAATGTGTGATATGTGCGCGACCACGCTGTTCAATTTTCACTGGACCTGTGGTAAATGTGGCTTTGCCGTTTGCATCGACTGCGTCAATGTAAATAAATCACTGTATAATGCTTTACAGAAAAAAAAGACCGTGGAAGTAATTATGTAAATATTTCGATTGACTTTTACGATAAAATCGAATTATCGAACTTTTAAACTGATTGAATTACCAAACACTGACTTTTTCAACCTTTATCATTTTGCTCAATATGTTTTTACAATGCAATTAATCGACTTTTTTCATTGACAGGAGCGGAAAATAAGGGTGGTATTAAACAGTCAAGATGAGCTGAAGGAAAGGGACAAATACGCTTGGCTATTATGCTTCCATCAACGGGCTCACGATCCCGACTATTTGTCGCTCACACAAATCATTCCAGCAGATTGCTTCGAGCAGATTAACATGAGGTTACACGAATGTCGATCGGAGTGGGGTATCGTCAATTATTGTAAATGCGATTACAAAAGTCGTTTATCCTGCAATGAAAATCTTAAATCTTTGATCAAAGGCGACTTAACATCTGTGATTAATGCCCAATTAGAAACTAAAGTTCGTTTGAATTGTTTATTCATGCTTTTTCTTACTTCAAATCGAATTTAGATTTTTCAGAATTATTATATCATAAATTTTACACATTACAGCAAGAAAAGCAAATAAAGGAAGAATCTTCTCGTGACAATGCAGGCGAAACCCAAACGGGTGAGATAAGTCAGACACAGTCAGCGATGGAAGTGAGTAACGAATCGCACACTGATTCTGACTCTGATGATATCGGTGGGCCATCTTCACTCCGTCAATATTTGAATGTCCAAAACCCGGTTAACAGTGATAGTGCTTGTGCTCCTGGCCCATCTAAACGTACTAAGAAAAGCAAGATGGATACGCTTGATGAGGTCATGAGCACTGTTATTAAAGATTTGGTTAAGGTATGATTATATTTTGATTTTTTTAAATACAATATGTATTTCATTCTATCTAATGTTATATAATGACGATTTTTTGAATGTGATAATTTTTTATTATTTTTAAAGAGCTTTTTCACTCTAAACCCTCATTATTTACTCTAATGCTGCACACAATACTTTCATAACACAAATGATTGATTTTACTTTCGTTACAGCAGAAAGAAGAGCAAACAAGTACAGTTGTCATCAAACCTTGTATTTTGAAATACTTTGTGCGTCGGTACAAGCGTCCACAGCGCGGTCGTGAACCACTACCGATTCGTATAATGACCCTCACAGAGTCGAAATGTTTATATCCCGAAGTGCCACACTCGTGGCTCTGTGATGGTAAGCTATTGAGACTTCACGATTCAAACAATTCAATGAATTACCGAATCTTCCAAGATCAATGGAAGCGAGGTCAACCAGTACTCGTATCCGACATGCATAAATACCTCGACCAACATTTATGGCGCCCGGAAAGCTTCTCTAGAGATTTTGGTTACCTAAAGGCTGACCTAATCAACTGCATGACCGGCAAGATAGTCCCCAAACAACCAATGTCGAAATTCTGGGATGGCTTCGAACATGTGAAAAAGCGACTTAGAGACGACCGTGGCAGACCAATGTTACTCAAGCTCAAAGATTGGCCACCGCGTGGCGACTTTGCTGACATCCTTCCTTCGCGCTTCGCCGACTTGATGAAGTGTATTCCACTCTCAGAGTATACTCATCGATTCGGCCGACTAAATCTCCCCAGTCGATTACCAGCTACCTTCGTTCGACCTGATCTTGGCCCAAAGATGTATATTGCTTATGGCTCGTCAATTCATCCCGATAAAGGTACAACGAACCTGCACCTCGATGTTTCCGACGCTGTAAACGTGATGGTTTACGTGGGAATTATCAATGATAGCGATCGAGAAAAACGAGTGAAAGCGGCGCTTAAAGCTATTGATGAGGCAGGCTGTGACATACTTACCAGGAGACGTGTGAGACAGGCGCAACAAGTTCCTGGAGCTCTTTGGCATATTTATGCTGCCAGGGATGCCGACAAAATCAGGGATATGCTAAATGCTGTTGCAATTGAGCGCGGTGATACGCTAGAACCTTATAGCGATGCTATCCACGACCAAAGCTTCTATCTAGATGGACCACTCCGGGAGAGACTGTATCGAGATTACGGCGTTGAAGGGTATGTTACTTTTTTTTTATTTAATTCTGGTAGGTAGAAGTGCATGTACGGTATGTAGCAACTATGCTTAGTGAAAAAGAAATCAAGGATTTAATCTTTGTGTGTTTTAGGTACGCCATTGTACAATGTTTGGGTGACGCTGTTTTTGTGCCAGCAGGTGCGCCTCACCAAGTGCGCAATCTGCACAACTGCATCAAAGTAGCCGAAGATTTTGTCTCGCCAGAAAATATCTCACACTGCTTCCACTTGATGCAAGAATTTCGTGCATTATCAGAGGATCATATGAATCACGAGGATAAACTACAAGTTAAAAATATTATTTACCACGCGGTTAAAGATTCGTTGACTGCTTTAAGTAAAGCCAAAAGTGAAGTATTAGCTAAAGCGAAAGATTGTTTTTAGTTAGTAAGAATTTTTATCATTTTCTATTTTGTCACATTCACTTTCCGACCATTGCCGTCGTGTTTTATATTTATTATTTTTTTAAATTGAATTATTAACTAATAATGTTGGTACATTCGTTGCGAAAATAGATACGATGTTCCAACTATCGCTTAATCAAAAGTTCGAAAAAAACGCTGTGATAATTAACTGAATGTTATTGAAATGATGTGCATATGCTTGTCAACTAGGATTAAATATTTTTTTTCTTTACTTATCATGCGATGGGTTTTACAGGAGAGAAAAAATTAATATGAGAGATAAAAGTCTGAGTATATTTTTGTACAGTAGATTGTAAACGTGTATTGTACATACTGTATAACTGAAAGATTATAAGTTTGATAAGAAAATGTTTGTATTTTATGATTTAATATAAAATGTATGTGAATAAATTCGAATTTCCGATTTCTAAATGATTTCAGTTATTTTATTCATTGTAAATACTTTGTTTTAATATAACAAACAATAAGCTTTCTGCTAATTTGTCAATGAAAAAAATGAATTATTTTTACCTTGTCGAGTACGTAACATTTATTCGATTCACATACACAAAAATTTATGCATACATCTTTAAGCAATTACCGTTTGATCTCTTAAAATCTATCGAAATAATTCACAACATCAGCAAGTTAACAATGAAAGGTAAGTGATTTATTATTTTATCTCATAAATACATAATATACATTGATAGATTTTCTTTTGTACGCATTGGAATCGTCTATTGTTTATTTACTTTTTCGCTCGTTGTTTTCCGTTTAAATAAATATTTGCTTTTCTTTATAAAAATTATGCTTGTTACTATCTTATCAAGAATAACAGTTTTCTGATCGTTGTCGCTCGATAAAACGTAAGACGGTTGACAGCTCTACTCGGACGTGAATTTCTCGTTTCTGAAAGGAGAAGCGTTCTCGACGAGCGAATGTGCAACTAAGAAAAGTGGGAATTCCTTGTTTATTTACGCGAGAGAAAGGGGTATAAAGAGATAGTACGGCAATAGAAGGGCAGCCTACACCGACAGTAATATTAGCTATCCACTTATATGAAAGAAGAATAGATGAAAACGAGGTATGCGGCAGACGCCTAACTCGGTGGTATTTACAAGGTAGAGGAGCCAGAAGCAGCGGCTCGCCTCGCGCTTAGAAAAATACTTATAGAACTCTTATCTACATGCTTATCGCGCTCGTCGTCGTCGTCGTCGTCGTCGTCGGCCGTACGGTTGTTAAATGCAAGCTCCGCGGCGCAACGCCGCGCGTCGCTGCGTTCGCTTATGTACACCTCCGGATTTGTTGTGCGCCGTCAAGGGGCGCGGCCTTCCAGCGCTAAACATCGTTAGCTTGGTCCTGAGATCCGTGGGATCGGCGGGTTCGCGGCTCACTCCTTGTGCTGTCGTGGCTGCTACTGCTGGTCGGGCTTCTTCAGCGGGAAGCCGTAGTGGGTCGAATGGTTGGACTTGGGCACCAGCACCACGTTGCCCTCGGCCGACAGCTGCAGGCTGTACTCCCGCGGGTCGTAGGGCCGACCGGCCGGGTCGCGCAGCGACTGCAACGAGAGAGAGAGAGAGAGAGAGGGACGGTCGAGCGCTCGGCTCGCGCGATAGGGCCGGAGAAAGGGGGGGAGGGGATGCTCACGTGAAGCACGTGTCGGTAAAGCTGGCCGAACTTTTCCTTGACCCGGGCCACCTCCTGGAGCATGTACTCTCGGTCGTTCTTCAGGCGCATCTTCCTCGAGCGCATCTCCCGCACCTCGTCGCTCAGGCTGTTGATCTGGTCGAGCTTGCGCTTGCGGCAGTTCTGCGCAGCCACCTTGTTCTTGCCGCGGCGCCTGATGTCGCGGATCAGTCCCAGTTGGTTGTCGTTCAGGTCGTACTTGCTGAGGCGCTCGTTGAACTCGTCCATCGGCAGGTTGATTATGTCGTTGACGGAGATGGGCACGTTGAGGGCGCGCGCACGCTTCTCGTCGCGCGTCATGTGCTCGTCGGCCTCGGTCTTCCTGGCTGCAACAAGCGCGTTCGGACTCCGGTCAGACGGGAGCGAGGCGCGCGCGCGCAACGGGAACTCACCTTTCTTGTCCCTTGACATCGGTCTCTGCAGAGCGCCCGAGCTCTCCGCCGGCAGGTTGTAGGTGTGGTTGTGCTGCACGTGCTCCAAGCTCGAGCGTGCTGCAAAGGTAACGAGAGCCCATGAGAATCCGAGGGTCTTGCGGTCGCTCGCGCTCGCTTTGGCAATGATTCTTCGCGCCGGGCATTCGCGTGCCCGGAGGAGGCGGCGGCGGCGGCGGCGGCGGCTGCGGCGGCGAGACTCACCCGACTGGTGCCGACTGAAGTCCACGCTGCAGCTGTACTTGATCTCGGGCTGCGGCCCCGCGGCGCCCTCGATCGGCCCGGAGTAGGCCTGGCCGGGGGGCCCGGCCACGGCCACGTTCTGCGCCGCGTCGTAGTCGTACTTGGACGGCGGCGCCGCGGCCCCGGGCGTCATCGGGCCCTGCTGCTCCTGGAAGCAGCGCTTGCCGAACATGTGGTGCTTCTTCTGCGCCACCGGCGCCAGGCCGGCTCGCTCCGCCGCGGACTGCTGGCAGTTGGCGCCGTTGGCCCGACGCCCAGCGCCCGGCGCCAGCGAGTAGCCGCAGTCGTACGGCATGCGGTACTTTCTGCGAACAAGCGCGCGCGTCGGTTTAGCGTTAGCGGGTGCCGCGCGACGGGGGGCCGAGGCTCGTCGTGGCACGTGTCGACCAACCCGGTGTAGTCCATCGAGTAGTGGGTGTCGGCCTGGGTGTGGCTGGAGTTGGACCCGGTTTCCATCCACTCGCCGCCGTCGCTCAGCGACGGCACGCGCTCGCTGCCCATGCTGCTGACCGCGCTGTCGCTCGACGTTTCCATGCGACCGTCGTCGTTCGGCGACTGCGTGCTGCCTGCCACCGGTATCATGCTCGCCGTCGGCCCTGCGCTGGACGCACTGCCGCCGCCGCCGCCACCGGCGCTCGTCGAGTTCGCACCGTAGGCCATTCCTGAAAAGCAGATCCTGGAATACATCTTCTGCTTGCTCGCGCTCTGGACTGCTATTCGATCGCGGCCCGTGAGCCGGATGTCGCCAACAGCCCCGGATCGAGTCGTTGGTACAACCGCGACCAGACCTTGCCCAACTTGTGCCGAGATTCCCAAGTCTAAGAGAGCGAGGAATGGATCGGCGACACGATTCGCTGCCTATGCGTTTGCGTCGAGCGAGCATGTGAAAAATCGCTGGAGCTCTTCTCAAGTTTCGGCTGCTGCGTGTTTTGCGGCGACAGAGAAAACGCTCGCGTCGCCATCGCCAGCTTACGTGCTCCCGTGAGTTATAACTGAGTCACGAGTGTTACCAAACGATTCGAACGAGAAAAGAAAGAAAAAAAAAGAGAGAACGCGGACTCGAGCGACACGAGTTACGGGCGGGAAGGGGAGGGGCTCTCTTTCGAGGAAGTTACCGGCGCGTTTCCGTCCGTGAGAGTGTCGTCGAAAAAGCATCGCGAGCCCGATGCGCGTAAACCGATCGTCGACGAACGAAGTCCCTCCTGCCCGCGCCGCCGAATGCGCCTTTTTCCTTCGGGACGAAACTTTTTGCTTTTTCCTCTTTCTCTCTCTTTTTTTTTTTTTTTCCACGTAACAGCCACGCGTCGGGTTTCTCGCCGGGCGAAATTTCGGTGCGGAAATTTCCATTGTTTACCCGCGGAAACTTTTTTTTCGTCTCCTCTCCTCGCCCCGCGCCGATCTACGGAGATCGCGCGTGTACTCGTATTTTCGTCAACTGTGCAAATGACCGCGACGTTTCCGCGGCGAACGAGAGAGACAGAGAGAGAGAAAGAATAATAGGAGATACGAAAAACTGTTCTAGAACGGCGACACACGCCAACGAAGCGAGAAGAGTCGCGCGATGAATTCCGCGCTATCGGCGCGCGCGTGCGCTCTCGAGAATCCCACTTTTATCGCGCGAGTCACGCAGTAACGACGGCTCTAGTTTTTTCAACGCGCCTATACGCGTACCTGCCCGTCCGATAAACAACCGCGCGCGTTCGCGGACACGTCCGAAGCGAGAGCGCTTCAAAATCGCGCGAACGAACAAAAATGGGAAAAAAAGATACGGCGGTGAGTAAGCACGTACGGCTTTCTGAGAGAGATAAGAGGAAAACACGTATAAGGTCGCGGCTGGCGTGCGAACTGTGCACGCATAATGTAGCAGTTGCACACATGCGGCACACGTGACGCGAGACCACGTGTCGGTGAGTCATCGATCGCCCGTGACTCAGCAGAAAAATCGCCTTCGTCTTCTTTTCTCTCTCTCTCTCTCTCTCTCTCGTTTTCGTTTTTCCCCTCCCCGCGCCAACTCGCAAAGACTCACGCGGGAAGAAGACTATCACTTTCGACGCTGCCATCTCGCGAGATCGTCCCTCGGGCGTCAGCTGGCTGCTACATCCTCGCTCGCGCTCGCCCGTGATGGCAGGCGATGCTGCTGTCTCGCATCCTCCGAACGCTCGCGGCCGACCGACGCCTTCTACATGGTGCGCTCGCTGTCGCGACGGCGTACCGACTGACGGCGCAACAGCGCGAGAACGCGGCGCCTCTTCCTCCCGCTTCCTCTCCACCCGCGCGAGCCAGGCTCTTTTTCTCTCGAGCCACCGCCACCCCTCCACCGCCGCCCGCGGCGAGATGCCGGCTGCATTTGTTTACACTCGCTCGCCGATTTTTCGTTTATCGCGGCCGAGCTCTCGCGGCGCGCGATCGAACGATCCGCGATAAAGAAAGCAGGCGTGCGAGACGCTATCGCGGGCCCGCCGTGCGGAGGCGAGCTCGCTCGGTTTAAAATTAGAAGCGCGCGCCGGGCAAACACCGCGAGCGCCGCTCTCGCGTCGCCGCCGGCGTTTCGCGCGTGTGCGCACTCGACCCTGGAGGGCCGCTCGCCTTATCCGCGCCGGCGATCGGCGAGCCTTTGCGCAACCGCGCGTCCTCGATCACTTGCGGCCGTAGCGCCGCCCGCGATTCGGGAAAAATACGGAAACGGGTCGCGGGCGCGGATGACTCGGCGAGAAAGAAAGAAGCAAGCGTCTTACCGTGAACGCGCGCGCGGCTCCGAGACACGGAGATGTCGATGCCCATGACTGGACTAATCTTGCCGAATCACGCCGCCGAATCGCGGCGGCGGCGGCGGTGGCGGCGACGAGCGTCGTCGCGCGAGTGGCGCCGCGACTTTGCGGGCTCGCCGATACAGATAAAAAAGCTGGCTTTTATCGCCGGCGACGAGCCTGGTCATCGCGCTCGGCTTCTCACTGCCAGCTGCCTATAAGGATGCCGCAGCTGGATCGCGCTCGAGTCTCGCTCGTACCCGAAATCCAGCCACGAGTACGGCTGACGCTGCGCTTTTCGAGTTCCTCGTATTGCAGAGCGGCTTTTCGAAACGGAAAAAAATCGTCGGGATGGACGAGGGAGACTGACCAAGCGCCTCTCTTCTTCTTTTCGTCGATGGCGTCCGAATCAATCGCCGAAGTAAACGCATGGGAAAGAGTAAAAGTCTATTTTCATCCGTGGCGGAGCGATTATTACTTTTATTTTTCCTGGCGCTTCCACAGAGCTCGGAGCGCGAAGTTTTGGACGCGTTGAAACGAACGCAGAGAGGGCGCGGTCGCGAACGCGAGTACGTCGGGCGAGGATTCGACCGCCGATTTCTGGCGAGGCGGAGCAGCAAAAATAAAAATGCCGACGCGTCCCGAGCAATCGGGCGGGTCAATTTCGCGAGTCCCCCGCGTCTCCTTGGTGTCCGCGGCGCATGCGTGCCACGCGTTGGACTCTGTAATAGCGAGCACGCCGCGCGCACAGGTCTACCACAATCCGGCTTGCTATCCGATTCGGGCTCCGCGCGAACAATCGACATCCTATCGCTCAATGTTTGCTACAGGAATGAGGATCGAACCGCCTTCGTGGATTCCCAGTGCTTTTCTCGGTAACTCAACGACCACGGCAACTTCAAACTCGAACTTTAACGCTGAAGGCGACGCGAGCGTCAGATTATAGAAATAAATTATCGCAGATGAAATGGATTCTCTTCAAGACAATAAAGTCGGCCCGTTGATGGAAATTATTTCAGTCATGAGCGTTCTCGACAGTGCTAACGAATATCTTAAAGCACAGGAATGTTCAGCGTACGTTTTACATAAGTTTTAAAGTTGGACTATGTATTATACAAACTCTGGAAGTATCAACTATAATGTACCTGACTCATTATCAATTTTTGGATTAACTACAAGTCATCATTTTTTGCATTTTAAAGTGGCAAAATTAACATACTTGTAATAACAACTTGCTGTTAAATACCACAATTCGATTTTTTCTACGATAGCCTGAAAGAAAATGCACAGAGCAGTGTCAAAGTGAAATTTGATCTTCAATATTCCATTGACAAAGGTTCTAAGAAGAGTAATAAGTAAAAAGTCTAGTCTAAAATTAATAGAGACATGCCTGAGTGTTTTTTCAGACTGTCGAGGAGCTTTAGGTGAATAACATATTTAAGATACTAGTTAGTATTGTTCATTTCTTACTTTCTTAACAATGGTTTAGTGACTATATTATTTAATGAGATTGTATTAATTTAGTTGGATGCCTAGATAAAATATTCAAAAGTGTTTAGTGGGTTTACTAAATTCAATTTATATTGTTTGATTTTGAGTACCAGCAATCAAATAAGGATCAAACCAAATAATGATGGATTTTTTAAAATTGAAAAATTGATTAATAAAATGAAATTAAAGGAAATGTTTTATATACATAAAACTTGAAAGTGTCAATAACGAGAAAATTTTTTTTAAGTTCTTTGACACTCACGATGCTTATTTGTTAACAACTCAACCGTTCAAAGAAAAAATAAGAGTAACAGAATATGTGTTGATGAAACGTACTATAAGCTTCAAATTACAACAAAAAAAATGAAGCCTCATTCAAACAAAAATGATCCTCAGGATTTATGTTTACTCGTACTTTTTTAGATTCTATAACGACATTATTACAAATTAAATAAAAAAAAATTAATTCAACAAAAATGTTTTATTATTTCCTATGCAAATATATCCCCGAAACATTAGGCAAACAAAAGTAAGTTATACATGCATTTTTATTTTTGATAGCGCGACAGCCGAGTGGCAGAGCCTAGAACTTATCATCGTTTTGGATGTTTTGAGTTTAGATTACTCTAGTGTATGTATATACTCTCGCGAGAACGGTCGAACAGGACATCGTCATAAACATTGCCCACATGTGCTTTCCAAGAACCTACAATGTAAATGTGATTCGATTAACGAACTGTACGCTTGGGTTTTCGGCAAAACTAACTTGAAGCACGATGACTTCCTACACACGGATAATTTAAATGAAGTTAATAATTTTTACTTTAATATAATCAAATTCAGAATTCCGTGTCATATGTAACCAATCGTGTTATATGCTCGAAAAATTCTTTCACTCTTTCTTTTTCGAAGCAAGTTTCTTTTTTAAGAGTTATTTTGACTTCTGAAACCTATGTTTAATCAACGAAATTCTTAACCTAAATGTCCTAAAACACTATACTTTCGTGAGGTATTTTACGTGAAATATTTGTTCTAAAAATATTTATCACCAATAAAATTATTTTTTTGATAATTACAACTTAATTACAAAATCATAAGTATCCAATCAACGCAAAACCTTCAACTAAAACATTTGAAATTTGGCGCGGATTTTCTATGAATTTGGCGCATGCGCCGCGGTAGGAGCTGCAACCTGTTGTGTTCAGAATTCAATAGTGAGTGGATGGTTGACTCATTCCTTGTCGAGCTACGCTTGGATGAGGAAGCAAATTCATTCTTTCGCTGTATCTCTTTAATTTACTTTGGAACTTAACTTGTCATCACCGACCGAAGATTGGAAATATAGCAGAGTTCGTTGTGAAACAATTTCAGCCAAATATAATTGTAAAAGGTTAGTTATTCATTTTACGTTTTCTCGTTTTCACTTGAGAGAGAGACAGAGAAACAGAGAAAAATCAAACCATAATTATTTTCAAAGCCCTTTCGTGCACAAAAAATTCCCTCTCCCTTACAAATATGCTCCACCCATTTTTCGCGCACGAAAGATGGAAAACTGTTTCGCGAAAGAAACAAAATTTTCCGAAAGACTTCGCGCGCGAAATACTCAATTTTATCGTCGACTACTTTTTCGCGCGCGAATATTTCGCCCCCTAGACAATCTCTAAACTATTAACCGTTGATTTCGTTTGTGAACGCGGCCAATTTCTGGGAATGCTACGCGCAATGTAGTGTCTACGTATGATGCTATTATTTTTTGTAAATTTTTCATTTTTAATATGACTACGTTTTTCCAGTAATATTTTGACGAACGAATCGTGGTGTTAAACTTTTATTCAATTTTGAAAGTTGACAATGATAAGATGGTGATTTTATTTCTCCAAGTGTAACGTCCGAATTTTTTGTTTTCGTCGGCTTTTCTTTGTTCATCAGGCACATGTACACTTAAATGAAAAGGTTCTATGCTTCGTATGAGAATTTTTAGTCGTCCTTTGTTTTCATGATGGCGATCGAGCTTAAAATCGATTTTCTTTATGTAACCAAACACTTCGTTAAATGTAGGTCCTAGAAATTCATATTGTCATTGAACTATGTCGGATGTTTACATTGACTTGACTGATAATACCTTTTTGTGTGCATGTAATACGATCGCGTGACGTTGAAATTTGTTTTGTTGCAAGGTACCTAACCGTGTTTACAGATTTGTGAATAAACACGTTTGAGATATTTTAGATTTTTTAAAGCTAAAGTTTTATATTATTCCATCAATTATTAATTGTCATATTTGTCAAAAAAACTATTAAATGATTTTCTTTTTAAGAAAAAACATTAACATTGCTAAATTGTTGAAACATTAGTTTAATACAAAGTTTTTACAACATGAATGTTAAAATTACTTGAAATTTATTATTAGATCAAATTCCAGTTATTATCAAATAGGTTTTTTTACAATATATTATGCCATTTGAATTTAACATGTAAAATATTTCTTTTTAGATACACAAATTTGAAATATGTCTGAGGATTGGGATGATGGTCCAGTAGCCGTAACACAGATCGTAAGTTTTTATCAACCTACAATCTCATTTTGCACATAATCTAACAGTAGATTACATTTTACAGAGCAATGAAATAGGTTTCGGCATGCCAGGAAGTGGAACAACTGGCAGAGGATTTAAACCACCATCAAGCAACGATTCAAATGGTTTTAGTGACAGAAAACCAGGAGGTCGTGGTTTTGGTACAGATAATCAGGTAAATAAGACTTGTTTTTGTACCTAAATTTACTGGTTTTCTTTCATTTTTTATAATATATAGCAATTAAGTTTCGTTGTTCAATGTTGATTCAGTAAATTTGAAACTAAAAAAATACTATGTTAATTTCAAACTGTTGCTGTCACTTTAACTTTAAAACAAATGACCGTAATCAAAAACGAATATTTGCAGAGGAAATGTAATGTTTTAGCCATAAAAACTCATTTAGTTTGTAAGTTATCACATAAATTTGCCATCTGATTATACTTTGATTTTTCAGGTTGGTGAAAGTCGTCGAGGAGGCGGAGGTTTCCGTGGTGGCCGCGGTGGAGGCGGTGGCTTTGGCCGTCGAAATGACGACGAAGAAGGTGGAGGAGGCCGTGGATTTGGCAGTGGAAGTCGTGGAGGTGGTAGTTTTAATCGACGAAATGATGATGAAGAAGATGGAGGTGGTGGTCGGGGCTTTGGTGGCGGCCGTGGAAGTGGTGGTGGGTCTGGTCGCCGATACGACGATGGAGAAGACGGAGGTGGTGGTCGGGGCTTCGGTGGCGGGTGCCATGGAAGTGGTGGTCGGGGCTTTGGTCGCCGAAACGACGATGAAGGTGGTGGAGGAAGTCGTGGAGGAGGTGGTTTTGGGCGTAAAAACGACAACGGAGAATATGGAGGCGGCAATCGTGGATTTAATGGCGGTGGAATGAACGGCAGAAGTGGTTTTGGAAACAGAAGAGATGAGGATGGTGATGATGGTGGTGACCGTGGGTTCAATACTGGACGAGGTTAATTGAATTTTCATTATTCTTTAATTTTTAGAGGAATTCGACTAGGAATCTATTTATGATTTAATTTCATTTTTAGGCCGTGGAAGAAGTCGTGGTGGCGGTGGTGGTAGTGGTGACCGAGACCGAGATCGAGACCGAGGTGATGAACAGGAAAAACCACGTGAACGTTACATTCCCAAGGAACGTACTGAAGAAGAATTGTTTGCTGACGGCACCAAAGTTGGCATCAACTTTGAGTGAGTATTGAGAAATTGGATTTAACATCTAACCTTTTAAATAAAATGCTTCAACGATTTTTATCGGTTTTTAGTACGCGGTAGTAAATGACAAATATTTATTATTTATTATACAATGCTTTGTTGCACTAAAGATGTTATCCAATTTATGAAATTGAAACAAGACTGTACCATAAGTTTGTTTCTCAATAGTTTGATGTATACTTATATACTTTCCTTCAGAAGGGCTAGCTAATCTGGTTGAAACGGACAACAAATAAAGTCCATAGAGATTGTTCGAAGCACTTCATTTAACGCTTGAGTCTTTTTCAATAATCTAATCTTTTACTTGATAAAAACTATTCATAACTTTTATTTATTTTCCAGTAAATACAACGCGATCGATGTCAAAACAAGTGGAGAAGATGTACCTCCTCCAATTGAATTCTTTGAAGATGCCAATCTTCGCACATTGCTTATCAACAATATCAAGAGATGCAATTACACTGTGCCTACTCCAGTCCAAAAGTACTCTCTTCCTATCGTAATGGCAGGTCGAGATTTGATGGCTTGTGCTCAAACTGGTTCCGGCAAAACCGCCGCATTTATTATTCCAATCATTCAAAGGTTGCTCGAAAAACCTCGTGAAATCGAAGACTTAAAAGCCCAAAACTGCGTTGAGCCACGTGCTCTCGTTATTGCCCCCACCAGAGAATTGGCAATACAAACTTACAATGTAGCTACAAAATTCGCCAAGGGTTCGACTTTATATGCCAGGGTTTGCTATGGTGGCACTGCCATTGGAAATGAACTAAGGCAGCTCTTCAGTGGCTGTGATATACTGGTCTGTACAGTTGGAAGATTGATGGGATTCGTTGGTATGGGTAAAGTGAGCTTTGCTTCTATAGAGTTTGTCGTGCTGGATGAAGCTGATAGAATGCTTGATCAAAAATCCATTGATGATATTGAGAAGGTATATTTTCAGATAGTTAATTTTAAAACAAAATGCCGTTTTCCTTTCAATACTATAACAAGTCAATTTTTTATCCTTGCAGATTTTGTGTCACGAATCAATGACACCAGTAGGTGAACGTATAACCCTCATGTTTTCAGCCACCTTTCCATCTCAAATCCAACAGCTCGCTGGCAAATATTTGCAAAACTATGTATTCGTCGCCGTTGGAATAGTTGGTGGTGCCTGCACTGACATCCAACAAAACTTCATAGAAGTAAGCAAAAAAGAGAAACGAGGAAAACTTAAAGAAATCCTGCAGATCGAAAAGGATAACAATACGCTCAAAGGTATTGTCGTATTTGTCGAGACGAAGAAAAATGCTGATTTTATCGCAGCATTATTGTCTGAGAATCGTTTCCCAACGACAAGTATTCACGGTGATCGATTGCAAAGAGAACGTGAAGAAGCTCTTTACGATTTCACTGTAAGACAATTAGGTTTCTTTTCTTTTTACATTTTACGTTTTGATTCGTAAACTAACGAAGTTTTATTTTCTTTATTTCAGAGTGGGAGGATGGGAATTCTTGTAGCAACATCAGTAGCTGCCCGAGGTCTCGATATGCAATGTGCTCGACATGTTATCAACTATGACATGCCACAATTAATCGAAGAGTACATTCATAGAATTGGACGTACTGGTCGCGTGGGTAACCAAGGAATAGCCACAAGTTTCTACGATCCTGATGTTGATAGTCATATTAAAGACAGTCTTATTAGAATCCTTAGTCAAGCTGATCAACCTGTCCCTGAGTGGCTTGAAATGGGAGATGGTAAAAACTATGGACCTGCATCAGGCTTTGGTGGAAAGGACATACGAAGTGTGAGTGTTCATTCTGATTTATTACATTTTGAGTCCATAATTTTTTGTGTAAAGATTGTTAGTGGTTTGATAAAATTAAAACTATTATTTAATAATGATGCTACGAAAATATTTTTTTTAATTTAGTAGTTTATATTTTTAGCTTACATCTATAACTATGGATTAAAAATTAAGTCTAACAAAAAATGTCATATGCTTAATAAAAGATTTATTTTATTGCTATTGGAAATACCAAATGAGATTTTAAATCAATTAATTTGTGTTAAACTACCAAAAATGTATTCGTGTTGTAGATATTTGGAATGATTTCCTGATATAAATCCTTTTTACATGCTATTATCCTGCAATCGAGTAGAAGATGATTATTTATAGAGTATACTCTCGTCAAATTCTAGTTTTATAATATATATTTTTTATTTTTCCAGTTCTCTGACGTTCAAGATTGCTCTCGCGGTGCCGCGCAACCAGTCGAAAAAGAGGAGGAATGGTAGATGATAAGATTTCAAACAAGCCACTATGACAGATTATGAATTCAACTTTTACATTTCCTTTACATTAAAGTGTTGATCACTATAAAAAAGACAGAAATCTCAGTATTTTTGTTTTTTTCTAAGAAAGTTATCATATATTTCCAACGTAAAAATACGTTTCTTTTTTATTTTTATATTTAATTCTACGGCTTATTTGTTTGACAAAGAACCATTGCCAAAGGCTAGTTATCAAAGATTACTTTAAAAACGAATGTTCTTAATAAGCGTTTTTTTATAAAATATATAAAGAAAAATAACTTGAAAAATTTAATATTCATTTACTTACCATCAGTGACGTTATTAAAACCAACGCCGAAGGAATCGTCGGCCCAAGATATTGGGTCATCGAGGAACGAGAATGGAATATCAGTTTGATTCACAGTGTCGTTAGTCGGGTTCGGATAGTAACTACTCATCATGTCGCTTGGTTCAGGTTTAAATGGCGTAACACCGTCCGCACTCAACGATTCTCCATTGTTAGTTAAGTTCATCGAAGTTGCGACTGCAGAACCAAGGTTGCCTGTGACAGTAAGCAGTTTAGTTCGAATACTTGATTATAAAGGAACATATTTAAATTGCAGAATTGATAATTAACAGATAATTAAACGTGCAAATTAATCAAGTAATTATAATGAGCATTGATTGAATTTCAACGTGATATCTTAACACTCACCGGTATTGTGATACGTTCCCGTAGAATTAAGATCGCCAACTGGTGGTGGAATAGTGGCATTGCTCATGAGAGCATGCCGAGGTGGAGGCGCCGTCACATCACCGTAGGGTTGATGATGATGATGGGAATGGTGAACGGTATAATTGAGATGCGACTGGTGTAGCGAGTTAACGGGTCCAGGATGGGCGAATGGCTCGCCACCACTCATAAACATGTCCGACCAGCGCTGGTGATGCTCCATACCCATCGGACGTACCAGCGGCATTCCTCGCTGAAAGTATCGACATCCCATTGACTTACGCACCTGACTCACGCGAAGATTTTGTTTGTATTTCGAAGTCGACACTCATTGGCGCCGAACTTTTCCACTCTGTGGATCCATTTCCCGAGACCGTACCCAACGACTCTCTTCCAAATACTAATCTCGTGTTCTCCGCACATGAGTAATCGGTCGAATCGATCTCCGCGTGTTCAAGGGTCACGTCGCGCCGCGACACGCGCATCTCGCCCCCCCGCGCAGCCATCGCGCCGATATTAATGGTCATAGCGTCTGATCGACGCGCAGGTTTCTCTCGCGATAGGCATCTCTAGCGGACGAGTATGCATGGACGACGCGGGCGCGCATTCTCTCTCTCTCTCCTTTTGTACTCGGCTATTTTGAAATATCGACTGCGCGGGCCTGGTTGGGCTTTTCGGCGCTGGATTAATCAATCGCGCGCCTTCGCGAGACGCTCCCTTTTGTTTCCTCGTCGATGCGCGAGCGAGCGACGAGGCGCTTTTTCCCCGCCGGATTCCGCGAAAAGACGCGCGACGGGCGGGTGAGACGCCATCGCGTCCAAATCAATTAAACGGGGCCGTCGTAATTTCGCGCGCCAGCGCAGCTCTCGCATCAATCAGCCGCTCTCTCTCTCGCGGCTGCTGCCTGCCGCCGCCGCTGCTGCAGTCCGAGGGCAAATCGTGCGCTCGTCAGCCCATCTGCCGCAACGACGATGACGGCCTGTTCTCCGCCTGTTCCTCTCTCGCCGCGGCGGCAGCGGAACGAATGTTTTCTTCCTTTTTTCGTCTTTTTTTTTTATTTTCCGGGTTGCTTCGTGTGAAAACAATCGGAGTGGACGCTGCAGCGAAGGCAAGAGGCTCACGCGAAACCACTTGACGATATTACGACTATGAAAGGAATAATTTTTGTCCTTCAATTAACTCGCCAGATACGAAAGGCATTTCATTCATTTATGTATTTTCTTCCAAAAGCTAGCGTCAACTGCTTGTCAAAATCAGGCTTTTTATAGTGAGAGGGGGACAATGAGTACGTCCCACAGAAGTGCATTTGACCCAGTGGTAGCAGCGCGTCATACTCAAGGCGCCAAGTGTTTTGTTAAGGCTCGGCGTACGAGGAAACTCAAACATCCGATCCGTGACCACGGACGCTCGGAAGAAAGTCAAATAGGCACGCGCGGTGGGCAAATATGCTCGAAAAATCCGTGTTTCCCCTCGGCGCGCCAACTCGTGTAATTAACCGATCGGCGACAAAAAGGGATCGCGATACGGGAATTATCAATTAGTAATTTTTTTTCTTTTCTTTCTCTCTCTCTGTCGCGGTGAAAAATGCAAATGCGATAGCCTCAGAACACGCGAAGGATGGCGGCGAGTATTCCAGCAAATAGTCGGAGAGCAAATAGACACCGTAGCTTTGTTTTTTTTTTGTAGGGTACGTGATGGATTGACTTCCCTCCTCGTTTTTCAATAAAATTCAAGTGGCTTCGAAGTATCTTGCCGAGAGGTTAAGTCAATAAGCGGCAACGAAACGTCTCTTCGTTTTTTTTCGTAATAACCGCCGATTTATCGCGCGCGAAATCTGTTTTTTTTTTTTTTTGCAGTCGCGCAAGAAGTGCACTCCTCGAGCGATTTGTTCGGGACGATTTGACGACGAAGCTGCTCGCAAAAACTTGTGCACGCTCGGACGGAAGCTGCCCGCGCGCGCGTAAAAAAGTCCTTGATGAATGCGTTCGCGCGAGCCGTCCGTTTTCTCATATGCCGCGTGTCGCGAGATTGCCGAGCTGCGCGCGCGCGCGATTCGAGCGACAAATGCAAACTCTGGCTGGCGCGCACGTATTGGGTTTTGGGAACGGGACGCGCGAGCCGGCGAAGCAAAAGTACCGCAAAGCGCATAAATCATAACACCTGCGGTCCGGTGAGTGACTGCGCGTAATTAACGACCTGCTGCTCTCGAAGAAGCTGCTGCTGCTGCTGGTGCTGTCGCGGCCGCCGGCACCGGGAGCACCATCTTCTGTTGATTCATTCTTTTCGTCCTCGTCTCTTCGCGCGCGCGACTGTTTGCCGTGCGTTTTTTAATGTCGCAAACGAGCGATTCGATTGAATATTAACAAAACGGAAAGGAAGAAATAAAAAGAAAAAAACAAGCAAGAGCAAGTTCGATTTGCAATATAATGGCGATCAATCATTCAAAGTCACGTTCAGTCGCGCGCTCGCGGGTCAATTACGAGGACTTTACGTAAGGACGATTGTCGCGCCGTGCGTCGGTGGTCGGGTGTCTGGTGCGCGCGAGAGAGAGAGAGAGAACCGTTGGTCCGCCGGCGCGCGATATTTCACCTTTGCATTTTTCAATAATGTCGCGTCGGCGGCGCGATAATGAGATCGCGAAAATTACCAGGAAGCCGCTCGATGCCTCGGAGGCTGCGAGCGCGGAAGTCATAATGAGAAAGCGCGAAAATGTCCCTTTGGGCCCGCTGCTGCACGGGATGACGAGGTGCGATTTCATTTTTTTTTTCTTTTTGCCGGACCAGAGAGAATGGCAATCATCGCGTTAAAGCTACGGTCACGCTTTGATGCCCTCGCTCGCTCGCGCGACTTGCGATTATTGTCGTTTTATTGAATTATCTCTTCTATTTTTTTCCTCGCGCCGGGGAAACTGACAAGAAAGTCACTGATGTATTGATTTGTTCCTTTTTTTTTTCATTTTAGAAGAATCTATTGTAATATGCGTTTGTGGATCGATCGATCGTTATTTTTTTGAACACATATCGGAAGGATATCGTAAGCCGTTGCAACGCGAATCTTTGATACGATGTGAAACAAAATATTCTGATGAGAGAACTGTGTTGCAGTTCATTGATTATAAAAGTATAACGCAAGCTTCAACGCATATCGTAAAGAAACATTGCAAAAATCTCTCGCGAATCTTCGGTAAGAGACGGGCGAACGTTCTTATTTATGGTTGATATACGAACAAATTAACGCAAAACAGCAGCTCACCGCAAATTCATTATTATACAATCGCTGTTTACCCACGGAACGCGATTTCCCGTAAAAGCTGCTGGTTCGAGAGCCCCGTGAGATACAAGTTTTGGATCTTAACCTTGGTGGGTAGCACCGGAGAATAGGCGCGAGGCGGGGATAATCCATCGAGAATGGACCGCCAGTGGCTACGGCTCAAAGTCGGATTTTGCCAACAATGGTACAACGAGGGATTCTCACCCGGACTGCCCAATTTTCACTTATACCGGCAAATTTACGACTATAGCATTGGCTGTAATAGCGCGACGGATCTTTAGTGATTGATTGGCGCGCGCGCGCGCGCGCACGTCTCCCGAAAGCGTCGGGCCAACGGGTACCACGACAGCTCGGCTCAACAACAGTGCAGCGTGCATACGGCTCGGGTGCACGGCGCAGGGTTCCGCTATCATAACGAGCCTCGGGACTTTTACGAGGGTGAAGTCCACTACCGCTGAACGATTTATCGACTCTCCGCGATAATACTTCCGGGCGAATAAATCGCCTTTAGCGCCGAAATAGCAACCGTCACGCGCGCAACCAACGAGACCGAGTGTGGAGAAGAAAAAAAATAAAGAGAGAGAAAAAAAAAAAAAAAATAAACAGAAAAAAAGGAGCGCATAACTCTTGCGCAATGCGCGCGAAACGTGTCATTTTTCGGACACAGCGTCGCGCACACGCGAGTATTAACACTGACCCTCGCGTACGCGCGGCCGCTTGTAATTGCTACTTGGCGTACGCGCGCAACCTTGCCAGGAGCGCCCGACGACGACGACGACGACGAGGCCTTCTTTTCTTGCGCGAGATTCGTCGTCCACTTCTGGTCCCAAAAGTCGCGACGTCATTTTGCGCGCGCGCGAGACCAACGCCGTGGACGAAAAGAATAACGCCCAGAGAGACTCGCAAATTAAATATCGAGATATAAATCTGTATGACTTTGACGAATAAATCACGTGGCGATCGCGCGTGCGCTTGATGCGTCCGTCGCGGAGAGCATAAAGGAAAAAAGAAGAAACCTGTGATGGACGTTTACGCGCAATTAGCCTGCAGCGCGTTGCCTCTATTGGAATACCGTCCGACTGGCCGAGTCGCCGTTTTTCGGTGTGTAATTGTGCAATCCGACCTGCCGCGACAAAAAAAAAAAAAAAAAGAAATTAATTAAGAGCGACCCACAAAGGAAGAAAGAAAAAAAGAACTGCAAGTAGGATGACAATAACCGTTTTTCTGGCGCAAAACTTTCACCGTGCGCACACACGAGCCACGGCAGCGCGCAACATTTAGCTTTCACGGGTTTTGATTTATTGCTCCCTCCGTCGCCCGTTTATTTGTTTTAGAGCGAGCCGCGGGAAGGGTAGAGGCAACGAAACCCTCGAGCGTCGTAAAACAAAACGAGAGAATTGACAGGCTAATCGCGCGCGCATGGCGAAATTTACATTCGTCGATTAAAGTATATCGCGGCAATCGGCGCGCGGATCCGCTCTCGTGGCTGCTCCTTGGCCTCTCGCCGGCGCCGCTGCCGATCGTCTTCGCCGGTCTCGCGGCTCCGCCGCCGCGCGCGGACCTTTTACATAATGGAGCCGCGGCGACAAGCGATAAACGCTCATTTCTGAGTCAATCATAGAGATGCATAAGATACAAATGCCTATGATAACAGCGAGCGCGCGGGGATAATTCGTGTCTTTTTTTTTCTTTTTTCGGAATCGGTTGTTTTTTTTCTTGCCAAACGCGCGAAGGCTGCCGCCGATCTTTGATCAAGACGCTTGGCTCTTATTTTTTTCTTTTTCTTTATTATTTTTTTTTTTTTTTTATCCTCGTCACAACGCGTTTTCCTACGAATGATTGACGATTTTTCTCGTGATTAATCGACTGCCGACTCGTCTCGAGCCGTTTCGAAACAGAGCGGCCGCGGAACTGTTCGACGGTGCCCAAGAAGGCTGCGCGCACACGCGAGTCGCCCTACCTGGGAGAGAGCGTCGTCGACGGCGAGAGTCCAGGATTCGTGGACGTGCGTGGTCGGCGGGTCGGCACCGGCGAGCCTAAAGACAGGCTGCTGCTGCACCTCGTTCATCGCACCGCACTCATCGTCTACTCGGACAACACTAAGAGGACTTGTCTCTCTCTCGCTCTTGCCAGCACGCGACGCGCGGAGAGCTACTTTGACAGGCACTGAGGGAGACGGAGAAGGGGAACATAGAGAGAAAGAGAGAGAGAGAGAGAGAGAGAGGAGCGGGAACACGAGAAGGAGGCGCCACGTGAGGGTTCGACTAAAAATCCTGCATGCGCGTAGGTCATTGTCGCTTTGATTAGTGTCATTTTACACGGGACGGGTGTCGTTAAGCAATATATTATTGTGCCTGCCGCGAGCTATACGTTCGTCATCGCGCGAAGGATTTCTCCTCTATTTTCTCACTTTCGAGCGGCTTCGCTCGCCGAGTTGCCTTCTTGTCGGCGCGGGACGAGGAGTCCAAATTGTAACATTGAATTTATGACGGTTGCCCGGTGATCGATCGACCAGTCCTGCGAGAATATATCACGCGAATCGTCGACGCGATTTTCCGGTTCCCCTCTAAATATGTCGGTGAGAAACAAAAAGGCCGTTTCGGCTGGCCGCCGACAAGATCTTCGAGTTCTATTTCTTTGGTTCGCGTCATCGACGAAAATCATAGTGACCGTGCGCGCTGCCTTCTTTTTTTTTCTTCTTTTTCGTAACAATACAACGACGCATAAGAGAGTTGTTTTGACGAGGCTGCCGACGATAAGAATGAAATTACCAATTCTCATAAATAATAATTTTTCTAATCTCTAAAACACCCTGGGATACAGCTTGGACCGCACTCTCTTTCACCCTCGCGCGCCAAGCTATACGTTTCCGCATTCCCATTGACTCTCGACAACGAGCCTCTATACTCGCGAGAGATCGGAAAAGTCGAGCGTTACCATACATTACGGCTGCATAGGCGTGTGCAAGTTTTGATGATTTGTAGCCTCTGCTTCGCGGCAAGTGACGGGGTTAGAGTAAAGTTTCTGTTGTAAGAATTACGGTCTTGGCTCGCCCCGAGGCCCCTCTAACGATCTATCTCGCCGCGCGTCGCTCTTGGAAAAGAAAAATAAGAGATAAAGAAGAAGAAAAAAAAAAAAAAAAAAAAAAAAGACCGTCCTCTCCTTCAAACCTACGTTTATTATCAATTTTTTTGCCCCGTTCTCCCATATTGTTGTTATGTTTCTTCGCTCGTCGTAACGCTAGAAAGTATAATTAAACGCGTGTGTGTCGCATGTCGCGAGGCCGCGACGCGGAAGACATAACCTCGCGACAATTACAATCAGCGACACGGCGGCGAGTCGTAAAAGCATTCTCTTTAATTTTGCATAACCCTCGAACGCATCGCGCTCCGCTAATAGTAGTTTATTGCTCGGACTTTACGACGCGGTGGAGTCGGCTGCCTTTCCATGCTGATTGTTCGAGGGCCTCGTTTCGCGCGCGCGTTTTTCCTCAAACCTTGACGCCTGAAAATCCTAGGAAAAAAGAGAGAGAAAGAGAGAGAGAGAGAGAGATGCGCGTGTGTGTGTACGTAACACATCCCGTCGGACCGCGCGCATTAGTAGGGATAATTGTTGGGTGCGGACTTGTTGCGGCGAACTCGCGCTGCAGTAAATAAGCGCATGTCCCGTTTATGGACCGTAAATGCCGCCAAGCGCGAACAACGCACTCTCGGCTCTTATCGTTTTTCCCTCGCGCGCTGCTTTTCTCTACTTGGTATATATATCAAAAGCTCATTCGCCGACGCGAACCCCCTTATTACCGCGAGATATATATACTTTGCAGCGCGTGCGTGTGCTTTGGTCTCCCTTTCGCTCGGCCGCGAATTATCGCTGCCGCTGATTTGAAAATGCGCCTTACCTGGAACGAGCGAGCATGGGGATGATGGTACTGCGGATGAATCACGTTCATGTCGCTCGCTTCGGCTCCTTTAAGATTGTCCTCGTCGTTGTCCGAGTTGGAAGCGCGCGAATCGCTTCGCCCTCCGTCGCTAATCAATTTTGGCTTTTCCTTCACTTCCGGCTTCTATTTGTGTTTTTTTTTTTTTTTTTTTTGTTTTTGTTTTGGTTTGTTTTGGTTTCGTTGTCGCACGAGGAATGAAAATGAAATTCGATTAGCTAAGGAGTCATCTGATCATTGAATAGGCAAGATTTGGAAGTTGAAAAACGCGAAAACTCGTTGAAGATATAAAAAGATTTTCGTTCGATGAATTGAAACTCTAGCAAGAATTGTTATAGATAGATAAACCGGCCGACAAAGGATTCAACAAAGACGCTACTGTAAAAGTTAGCTGACTTTTTGAAAGGAAAAACTCACCTCGAGTTCCACCTCATCGAGACCAACGAGCTGCAGAGCCTCTTCAAGATTGAAACCGTCGGAAAGTCCAAGCGATTCGTTGTGGAGGAAACCTTCAGCGCAGTCGTCTAAGAGGCAATCGTCGGCCAGCAAATCCGAGGCGAAGTCATCCTCGAGGCCGAGCGAGTCATGCAATCCAAGTGAATCTTCGTCGCCTAGGCCGACTAAAGCCAAATTCGCTTCACTTAATAGAGGCTGCTGCTGGTTCTCTTGATCTTCGTCTTGCTTGGTTGACGGGGACGACAACGACGTCGACGACGGAGCTACGACCGCGTCCGCTGTTGTTGTTGTTGTTGTTGTTGTCTCCGACGTTGGCGAATTTGCACTTGCTGTGCTTAAGATGTACTCGCCTGTCGAGGACAATCATAATTCTACGTTTTATTGATTGATTAAATATGCACGTATATAAATGTATCGCTTTATGATTCACTCTTCGTTCTTTTTTTTTGTTTTCTTTGCTCTTGATTTATGGATAGATGACATTTTTTTTTCTTTTCATTACTTTTGTGAGTGACACAACATACGTACGTTATTCAAATTTTTTTCTCAAGACGGAGGTTGTTTGATGGGATTCTAAAAATAAATTCATTTTATCCGCGCAAAGAACGTCGGTCGAATACAACTTCTTTGGCATAAACAATTGTTTTGCTTAAGCACTTCGCTCTGAATTCTACAAGAGACGCTGACGCGAAATTCGAGAAAAAGTTTTCAGGCGATCGGTAAAAAATCTTAAATTTACTTGCTGTTTCATCACAAAACGAAGACAAATACAAACTTTGTTCGACTTGATGTATTTAATCTTGGATCTTGCGAAACCTACGATAAAAAAAATATATATCGAAACACAATGGAGCCGATAAGTATCGGAATGGACGCCGCGCGATGCTCAATTAAGTTTTTTTTTCCTCCAGCGATAATAATAATAATAACAACGTAACGAAAATGCCGCTCTCCCTCTGAAAAATTTTTTAATTACAACGGGCGCGGAAAAGCCGCGGCCTTTTTTTCCCAAGCGTGAATCGACGCTTTCCACCAGGTGTGCGTGTGTACGTGTATGTGGGGGCGTCGAGAGAGAGAGAGAGAGAGACGTAACTAATTGAGCCTACAAAAGCAACGACGATGGGGCCTTTCCACCTGCGCCGCCCTACGACCAATCCCGCACGAGCTGTTGCCTCGATTCTCTCCTTCTTTTTTTCTCTCTCTCTCTCTCTCTCTCTCTTTCTCTCTCTATTTAAGACGCGCAACAGTCGGCTTCGACGAGTGTCGGCTCTCGAGACTTTTAGATTCCTCGATCGGCTTTTCTGTTTATTTTTTCACCGTATTCTTGTCGGGATCAAATTTTTTTTTTTTATTATTTTTTGTGGCTGCTCGTTTGAAGGGGGATTCTGTTATGTACGCGCTGGGTCTGATGAACATTTAAAGGGTATACCTTTTTTGGGTTGAGGTAATGGCGTTTCTTTCAACTTTGAACGCGAATAATTATTGTAGAGCTGAAAAAAAACTGTAAATAAAAAAGCGATTCTCGATTCACGCGAGAATGGACGAGAGGTGGAGAAAAAAAAAATCATTGAACGCGCATCCGCACTCGATGCGCAAAAATCAACAGGCCTCGACAAATAAGCAGAACGTCTGCGCCTCGATAAATGCCGCGCGACTCGTCTCCCACGAAATCTCTTCATCTCGCATTCATCGCTCGCGTCCGAAGGCTTTCAAAGTCGCATGCCTTCGTAATTCGAGAGAGAGAAAAAGAGAGAAAGAGAGCGAAAGAGAGAAAGAAACTCGTTCGGACTTGGAGGAATTATTATCTCTAATAACATCCCCCCGCGCACGGCGCCTGAATCCTCTTGTTTTTCCAGCGGCAAGTGCCCCCGGCCATCGCGATTCTCTCACGCGCATAGCAGCAGCAGGATTAGGACGAATAAGGTGTTCGTGTTTTACATTCACAGACCACTAAGTTTTCTGTGCAAACACTACCGGAGTTTTCTTTGGGGCTTTGCCATGCGCTATGCAGTTTCGGGGCTAGCGAAGGTGCGTTACGTGTTTTTACGGGGGAGTATTCAATTTTCTTTTTTTTCTCCTCTAAGGGATCCCTTCTCAAACATATCCCTGCGCTCGACAGATGCATTAGTTATTTATAACAATTATCAAACGATGAGAACGACAGCTTGAGCGTTCAACGAGAAACTGTCGAACACAGTCTGAACGTAACGTAATCATATTTAAGTCTTGGATCAATCTTTGGCAGCGGTCGCGTGATTTTTATGTTTTCTTCAAAAGGGGTTAACGCGTAAGGCAACGAGCGAGGAAAGAGAAAGAAAAAAAAAAACAAAAATCGAGAAATGCATCGGCCCGAACAAAAGTGGCAGGCGAGAGAAAGAAAAGGGTCGACAGGATGCAGTTATTATTCGGCGCGTCAGCCATTACGCGGACGGCACATGTAATTCGGGGAGCGCTGTGAAACGAGCACGATAATGGCGGCTGATAATTTGCTGGCGGCGTCTCGCTTTATCTTCGTTTCAAAATGGAGTCTCGTGCACGAAAAAAGGGTGCGGCTCGCGCGGTGTAATTACTTCTCTCTCTCTCTCTCTCTCTCTCTCCCCGAGTTGCATTTTTTTGTTGTTTCTTCTCCGAGGTTGATGAACTGTACGCGCAAGCTTTGACGCAGCGATTTTTTTGCTGTTGTTTCTTTGCTATCCCAATGTCACTACTCATTATTGCGGATGTATGTGCGCGTGCGTGTACGTGTACTTACACCGCGAGACGAGCGAAACTCATCGCGCGGTCCTCGTCGCCGTGCTTCGAGATCCGCTGAGATTCGTCCGCGGCAAAAGTTATTGGTCGATCCCTCGGGCTGGAACTTTACACGCCGACCCTTTTGGCCGTACAAAAATATCGCGCGCCTCGGTCAAAAGGCCGACGGCTTTGAACTGCGCCGTTTTTCCTCGCGCTGACAGTCCATTTCTCATATTTTCCGTCCGACGACGAGCTTTTCTTACGCGCGCCCGCGTCGGCGTTTGGCTTTCGGCTTATTGGCTTTGTTCCGCGCGCGTCGAGAACTCGTGTCTTTCGGGAAATCGTTGCAGCGGAAAACGAGAGAAAAAGAATTTGAATATCCGCTCGCGAGATGACAAATGACGTTTATTGAGATCGCGGGGGTGAAGAATTTCGATGAATTTTCCATTAATTTGCGCGTGGCGAGTTCGAAAGCGTCGATGGCTTTACGCGCCGTCGGACCTATTCGGCATTGCGATCGGAGAAAGTTGCGGGGACGATCATGAAAGTCGACGATTATTGAGATAATGTAAAAACAAAAATGACGTAGATGAAGGCATCGACAAAGCGAGAAAACGAGGAAAAATGTCTGTCGGTTCAGTTCGAACTTTCTTTACTCCTCCTCGATGAAGACTCTATCCGACCTCGACACGGCCAAATAAATGCAAAAACTATATTGGCGCGATCAATCAAGCGGCAATTAAACAAACAAATTCATCAATCCAGAGCCAATAAATCCGCGGCGTGGCGAACGCGATGGAAAGTCCGTCTCTCTTTCTCCCGCGGGCCGTCGGAAGTCCGGCGTCGATTTGTCAGCTTGTCAACGGCAGCGAAACGGTAACGATGGTGGGGAGATGCACGCCGCCGTGATTGCCGATCGTCAATCACCCGAAACGACAATTTTCTTTCCGGCGAGCTCGCGGGAAAATTCGCCTCGCGAAGGATGGAGGAGGATCCAATTGGCATCGGGATTCGAAAGTTCGCGCGTGGAGTCGCGCTTTTCCCTTTTTGCCGATCGAAATTGGTAGGCGAGCGCCTCGCAAAGCCGGGGTAACGAGGAATCTTCGACGGCTATTTGTGATGAAAGGATATTCGCGAGAGTGACTCGCGAGAACGAACGAGTGATTTACGATTCAAATTGATTTCTGCATGATGTTGCGTTCGAGGATTCGGATAAATAGCGTCAAGTGGAATTTTCAAATGCTCAATACGAACAGCAATCATTTTTTTTTTCCTAACAAAAGTCGGCTCGCTAGTAAGTCAAAGCAGTTCGTTAAAGAAAAATCCACTTTAAGGCTCTGATAATCCGAACTCACGTACAATGGGACGCCTGTTACAATTATTAAACTATACAATGCTAACGTTAATCTCTTGCCCTCTAATTCAAAATGTACCCGATCGAATGTTCCTGAAAATTCTCATGCTATTATTTACTTAATCGTACCTGAAAACTCCTTTTCTCTCCACCTCAGCCACCGTCTCAGCTGCCGTCGTGCGCACTCAAAGTATAAAATCACAGTCACCACAGAAAAAAAAGAAAGTCCTCGTTAACGCAAAACAGTCGTTTGTCCCCACAGAAACAACAACAAAAGTATGTTCGCACAGACTTTCCGGCGCACCAAAATTAACTCACGTGCAGAAGGATGTATAACCGAGGCCGATGCCGAAGTTAGAACGACTATCGCGTGTTGACGGTAAGTGTCTTGCGGCCACTGGCGTGAAGTTTCTATGAAGAGAGAGAGAGAGAGAGAGAGAGAGAGAGAGAGAGAGAGAGAGAGAGAGAGAAAGGGAGGACAATGGTGATGGTGGGGAGGCAGGACCAATCGGCGCTCTCCGGTGACGCCCACCGCGCGAGAGGGGCGCGAGCTCCGACAAGAGAGAAAGGCGGAAGATTCGAGAATGAAACATTGCGCGGGGTGGGGTACGGCCATACCGATGGGAATAATGCGAGACGAGGGTGGTGCGATTTCTCCCTCGGTCCTGGTTGTTTCGGATTGACGATCGCCATTTTCGGGGGCAGAATTCATCTGTCGAGGATTCCGAGTGAAGGCGAACTAGAATCGTGCTCCGCGAGTCTCTACGAAATCCCAAGGTAATTCAACCAAACGGAGAAGCACATCGTCGCACTCGAATCGTCGTTACAGACCCATTATAAACACAGGAATCCTTAAAAGTACTTCTAATTGTCCTCCCCGAGGCAATAAACCATCGTAACACTCGATTACTCGATCAATCATTGACGAAAAGAAGCGGCAGAAAAAAGTCAAAGCTCTAAATTGAAGCGTGCGAGCGTCGCGCACGCCTCGTCTTTTTTTACTCGATCTTTGTCGTCGGAGATGAATAGAGCCGATAGCCGTGGCTGCGGCGCGTAATTAATTGTAAATCAGCTCTCATACGTGGCGGCAACGTCCGGCGTGCATTCTCGAGATTGACTATCTAACTCTTGTCAAACGCGTCTCCACCCATATAGCGTTTGTACACACAATACGCGCGCATCTCTGATGTGTCGCCACTGCTATATATGACATTCCTCTCGTTGCGTGGGTTCGCGCGTGTATAGCTCGAAAGCTCGTCGAAC